CTCCACCTCCGCCTCCTTCTCCTTTTCCTTCTCCTCCTGCGCATTGGCAGAAAATGGATCACAGGTATACGGGCGGGCGGCTCCGTGTGATGCATCTGCCGAAAATCGGGGCGATCGTTATGGGTACGGAAACTATAGGTACGATGCCCAACAGCAGTTCTTGTGCCTCTTGAACAGGACTCGCTGTTCGCGCCGCCGCGGAAGACAAAAAGCCGCCTGCCCAGCAGCGACCGCTGGCGGTGTTGGACAACATTTGTTGTTGAGCACTGTAACCATGTTTCCGCACCCACTTCGGGCGTCCAAAGGAAAGATCCCCGTCTCTTTGATGTGTTTGGCCCTCCCGACGCGGGTCTCCTCCTGCAGGGTTAGGGGGTAGTTGTCTTGCTTCTCAGCCTGGCACTCCCCAGGGGCGCGATTAGACCGCGCTTGGCGCATCGCGGCCTGGGTCGGAGAGCGCCCCCCCAGATTCCAGCGGGGCGGCGCGGCGCTGGGCGGGCGGGGCTGACGAACGGGCCTGCACGTCGCCTTGGCGAACGCCGCAGACAACGATGCTTCATGCCTTGCGAACCCAGCTTTGCTGTGTGAGGTTTTGCGGACCAGTGAAGACGCCATGGATCTAAGAGGTCATGCTCTGCGCGGTGTGCCGCCTTCGGGGACGGTGTTCCGGCCCCTGGGCTGTCGAAGCGAACGAGCCAGGGTCAAAAGCCGTCCCGTGGAACGTGGTCGCGAGCTCGGGGGGCTTGCGCTCTGGGGCGGGAGGAGGTGGAGGAGGAGGAGGGCAGGAGGAGGAGGAGGAGGAGGAGGAGGGGGGGTGCTTGCGCATTGAGTAAGTCAGGACAGCGGGGCTCGTGGCCTTCTCCCCTCGGGAACGGCCGCCTCCTCGCGGCGCGTCGTTTCTTCGCAGCGCCGCCCCTCCCCTTTGTGGGCGGTGATGGGTCACGCCAGCCCCGGAACCACGCAGCGCCAGGAGAGATAGGCGCTGCGGAGGGACAATCAGGGGCAACGCTAGGTGGGGATCCGCTCAGGGGGGGGGGGCGCCTCGAACCCAGAATCGCTCATTCGTTGCCCATGGCGGCCCAATGGCCCGCCCCGCCCAGGAACCTGCGGCGCTGCTGTCTGGGGCCCTTATCGCTGATCCATCGGCGACGTTTCGCCGATTCCGGTTCGAGGCTTCCCCCCGAGTCGTCCCCGCCCTGACGTTGCCTCTCAGAGAGACGGGTCCCCCTGCCATGGTTCTCGCCATGCGGGATCCGCGAGGAGGTGTCAGCGGCGGGAACCGAACCATATCCTCGCCGATCAACGATTCAGGCAACTCGATGGGCGGCACGGGTAGGGTTCGGAATTCGCCGAAGACGTTGCGAATTCCGAACCTTACCCCTGCCTCCCATCTATTCAGGAGAGTCGGTGGTTGGTGGGGGTACGGTGGTTCGAATGTCGCCACCGGAGATGGACAAAGACGAGGGCGGAGTCCCCAGATTGCGGACGCCACCTGAGGTGTCCCCTGATTACGGACGGCACCTGAGGTGGACGCCACCGAAGGCGCACGACGTCGACGGCGGCGACGAGGATGGAGTCCCCAGATATTTGCGTAAGAGCATGGCGGAAACAGCGACACCACAGTAGAGCCAAAGCCGACATCAAGGGAGCTTGAAAAGTGGGACTGACGTTTCCGCCATACTGTCGAAATCTCAAAAATGTACGCTGGATCATAAGTCGTCGCCGTTGTCGTCGTCGTCGCCGTCGTCGCCGCCGTCTTCGTCGTCTTCGTCGTCGACTTCGTCGTCGTCCTCGTCGACGCCGTCGCCGTCGTCAACGCCGGCGTCGTCGTCGTCGCAGTCGTCGTCGTCAACGCCGTCGTCGTTCGTCGTCGCCGTCGTCGTCGCCGCAGTCGCTGTCGCCGTCGTCGTCGCCGTCGTCGCCGCCGCCGCCGTCGTCGTCGTGGTTGTCGTCGCCGTCGCCGTCGTCGTCGTCGCCGCTGTCGTCGTCCTCGTGGGCGCCGTCGTCGTCGCCTTCGTCGCCGTCGTCATTGCAGTCGCCGTCTTCGTCGTCGCCGCCGTCGTCGTCGCCTTCGTCGTTTTTGTCGCGTCGTCTTCGTCGTGGCCGTCGTTTCCGTCGTGCTCTTCGTCATCGTCGTCTCCATCGACGTAGCCATCGTCACCGTCGTCGTCGCCGCCGCCGCCTTCGTCGTCTTCGTCGTCGCCGTCGTCGCCGTTGCCGTCGTCGCCGCCGTCGCCGTCGTCGTCGTCGTCGTTGACGCCATCGTCGCCGCCGTCGCTGTCGTCGTCGTCGTCGGCGGAGTCTTCGCCGTCGGCGTCGTCGACGCCGTTGTCGTCGCAGTCTCCGTCGCCTTCACCGTCGCCGTCGTCGTCCTTGTCGTCGTTCGTAGTCGGCGTCGTCGTCGTCGCGGCTATCTCCGTCGTCGTCGCCGCCGTCGTCGCCGTCGTCGTCGTCGTTGTCGTCGTCGTCGGCGTCGTTGTCGCCGTCGTCGCCGTCGTCGCCGCCGTCGCCGTCGTCGTCGTCGTCGTTGACGCCATCGTCGCCGCCGTCGCTGTCGTCGTCGTCGTCGGCGGAGTCTTCGCCGTCGGCGTCGTCGACGCCGTTGTCGTCGCCGTCTCCGTCGCCTTCACCGTCGCCGTCGTCGTCCTTGTCGTCGTTCGTAGTCGGCGTCGTCGTCGTCGCGGCTATCTCCGTCGTCGTCGCCGCCGTCGTCGCCGTCGTCGTCGTCGTTGTCGTCGTCGTCGGCGTCGTTGTCGCCGTCGTCGCCGTCGTCGCCGTCGTCGCCGCTGCCGTCGTCGTTGTCGCCGTTGTCGTGGGCGTCGTCGCCGCCGTTGCCGTCGTCGTCGTCGTCGTCGTGGCCGTCGTTGTCGTCGTCGTCGCCACTGTCGCCGTCGTCATCGTCGTTGGCGTCTCCGTCGTCGACGCCGTCGTGGTCGTCGAGACGTCGTCGCATCCGCCGCCGCTGTCGTGGCAGCCGTCGTCGTCGCCGCCGCTGTCACCGTCGTCGTCGCCGTCGCCGTCGTCGTCCTTCTCGTCGTCGTCGTTACCAGAGTCGCCGCCGTCATCGTCGTTGCCGTCGTCGTTGTCGTGGAAGTCGTCGTCGACGCCGTCGTCAATTTCGCCGTCGGCGTCGTCGCCGCCGTTGTCGTCGCCGCCGTCGCCGTCGCCGCCGTCGTCTTCTCCGTCGTCGTCGTCGCCGTCGCCGCCGTCGTCTTCTCCGTCGTCGTCGCCGTCGTCGTCCTTCTCGTCGTCGTCGTTGCCGGCGTCGCTGTCGTCGCCGTCGTCGTCGCCGTCGTCGCCGTCGTCGCCACCGTCGTCGCGCCGATGTCGTCGACATCGTCGTCGCCGTCGTCGACGTCGGCGCCGCCGTCGTCGTTGTCGCCGTCGTCGTCGTCGTCGTCGCCGCCGCTGCCGTCGTCGTTGTCGCTGCCGCAGTCGCCGTCGCCGTCGCTCTCGTTGTCGTCGTCGCCACCGTCGTCGTCGTCGTCGTCGCCGTCTTTGTCGCCGTCGTGGTCGCCGTCGCTGTCGTCGTCGTCGCCGTCGCCGTCGTCGTCGTCGCCACCGTCGTCGAGGTCGTTGTCGCCGTCGCCGTCGCTGTCGTCGTCGCCGCCGTCGCCGTCGCTCTCGTCGTCGTCGTTGCAGCCGTCGTCGTCGCCGTCGGCGCCGTCGCCGTCAACTTCGCCGTCATCGCCGTCGTCGTCGCCGTCGTCGCCACTGTCGTCGCCGTCGTCGTCGTCGTAGACGTCGTCGTCGTCGCCGTCGTCGCCGTCGCCGCCGCCGTCGTCGCGCTGATGTCGTCGCCATCGTCGCGCTGATGTCGCCGTCGTCACCGCCGTCGCCTCCGTCGTCGCGGTGGTCGCCGCCGTCGTCGTCGCCGTCTTCGCCGCTGTCGTCTCTGTCGCCGCCGCCGTCGTCGTCGCCGTCGTTGCCAGCGTCGCCTCCGTTGCCGTCGTCGGTGTAGCCGTCTTCGCACTCGTCGCCAGGGTCGTCGCCGCCGTCGGCGTCGCCGTCGTCGCCGTCGTCGTCGTCGTCGTCGCCACCGCCGTCGTCGCCGTCGTCGTCGCCGTCGTAACCGTCGTCGCCACCGTCGTTGTGCCGATGTCGTCGACGTCGTCATCGCAGTCGTCATCGCCGCCGCCGCCGTCGTCGTCGCCGTCGTCGCCGTCGCCGCCGCCGCTGCCGTCGTCGTTGTCGCTGTCGCCGTCGCCGTCGTTTATGCCGTCGTCGTCGTCGTCGCCGCCGTCGTCGTCGTCGTCGTCGCCGTCGTCGCCGCCGCTGCCGTCGTCGTTGTCGCTGTTGCCTTCGCCGACGCCGTTGCTCTCGTCGTCGTCGTCGCCACCGTCGTCGTCGTCGCTGTCGTTGTCGTCGTCGTGGTCGCCGTCGCTGTCGTCGTCGTCGCCGTCGTCGTCGTCTTCGTTTTCGCCGTCATCGTCGTCATCGTCGTCGCCGTCGTCGTCAAAGCCGTCGCCGTCGCCGTCGTCGTCGTCGCCGCCGTCGTCGAGGTCGTCGTTGTCGCCGTCGTCGTCGCCGCCGTCGCCGCCGCCGTCGCCTTCGCTCTCGTCGTCGTCGTTGCAGCCGTCGTCGTCGTCGTCGCTGTCGTCGTCATCGTCGCTGTCGTCGTGCTAATGTCAATGGTAATGTTGACGATCGCCATGGACACTGACTCTCAAGCCTTTTTCTGTCCGGATAAGGATGCCGGTCGACCCGTCCACAGTCGCCTGCGCGTTCTCCATTGGCTCCTTCTGCCTCCTTGCGCGGTCCGCGCCGCCCGCGCCCATCTGCGGCTGCCAGTGCGACTGCGGGACCCCTGGCTGGTCCACCGCCCAGCTGCTCGCCGTCGCGGTGGGGCAGCTCGTGACGGGCAGGTGCGCGGCCCGCTGGTGGACGCCGCCGCGGCCGGCGTCGCCGTTCGTGGTGGCAGCGGGCATCGAGGCGCCCAAGCAGCTGACGCTGCCGGCTGGGGCGCGCGGCAGGCTTGAGGGCGGGGCTCCTCCGCTCGCCTGATGTCGGATGGCCTCGCTGTGGCAGCGGGGCGCCGCTTCTGGGCCCTGTTCGATGCGTCCGAGGCGGTCTGGCACGAGCGCCTCGTCCTTCGCCGCACCGCAGGCGGCCACGTGGTGCTCACGCCAGATGGCGACGTGCACGAGGAGCTGCTGGAGGACTACGAGGATGCGCTGCCTAGCGGTGTTGCTGGTGGCATTCCGAACCGCCTCTCTGGGCACAAGGCACTCCGCTACGCCTTCCGCCCAGGGGACATCGCCGATGCCAGCGCCTTCCGCCGGCGGGCCGAGGCCTACCTGGCTGGCTGGGCTACCGCCCCTCCAGCGGCCGTTGGAGGCGGGCGGGGGCCCGCGCCGATTGCCGACGCCGGCGTCGTGCCCGCCGTCGCGGCCGGCGCGCTGGCGGCTGCTGCTGACGTGGACCCTGCCTTCTACGACCCCGGCTCGCTGGCGGCCCACAGCTGCATCGTGGGCTCCGAGTGGTTCGTCGGCGAGAATCAGGGCCCCCGCAGGCGCGGCAAGGGTGTCACCATCCGCGACTCGGATATCGCCTTCGGCGCCTCGGGTCAGGCCCTGCTGTGCCGCGATGGAGTGCGGCACCGCCTCTGCCGCGACCCGCCCACGCCGTTGCCTGCCGACGAGGGCGAGGCGGCCGCGGCGGAGGACATTCGCACGCTGGCGGTCGAGTACAACGCACGCGGGGAGCGCACCCGCAGTTTCGAGTCAGCGCGCCACCTGCTGCGCGAGGAGATGCTGGACGATGCCTGGCCAGTTGAGGGCCCCCGCACCGTGCAGTGGCTCGTCGAGGCCTTCGCCGACAGCGGCATGGCCCCGGTGCCGCGACACCACTGGTGGAGGCAGGCGCTGGGGGCAACGTCCTCGGACCCAGGAATCGACGAGCACCTCTTCCTTTCGGAGTGCATCCAGCAGGGGCTGCAGTACGACCAGCTCAACATTGGCAACTTGGCCTGCTTTGAAAGCATGGCCCGCCGCTATCATCTCTGGGAGGAGCGGTGCCAGGAGCGGATCCGCGCCTCCACGGAGGGCTCGGTGGCGGCGGGGCTCGCGGCCGAGAGGCACATGTTCCTCGGCGGCGACCGCGCCAAGGGCTACGCGCTCATCTCGCCCGAGCTGGAGTCCTGGGTGGCGAAGCGCATGGAGGAGCAGGCTGCCGTGCTCAAGGAGCGCCGCAAGGGCCGCGAGGAGCGTGCTCTGGCGGCGGCGGCCTCAGGCGGCGGCGGCGGCGGCGGCGGCGCTGGCCCGACGATCGGCGCCGACCACAAGAAGAAGCTCAATGACAACAAGAAGAACAAGGACGGCCAGACTGGCACCCCGGGCGCAGGCTCGGGGGGGCAGGGCTGACGCCCTTCACTCCCGTGCTACCCTGCAGCGGCCCTGGAGCTCCCCCGGCTGGGCGCCGCTTTTACACCACCAGGGAAGGCGGCTGAGCGCTCGCGCCGCCGCTATGCCGCCAGGTCTTGCGGCAGATCCCAGAGGCCTGCTTCCTCTGCCAGAGCCCGCCTCGCCTGCGCCGCGTCATGGGGATGCGCTGGGCTCGGAGTGGCTCTCGGCAGGCTTGCAGACCCTCAATGAGATGGGAGGGCGCGGCGCTGTTCGGCGGGCTGGAGCAGCCTCTGGTCCCCAGGCCGACGCGCTGGAGCGGCTTCGCAGCTCCTGCGCCGCCGTGCCCAGCTGCCCGACGGACCTGGCCGCCGACTCGGCCACTCGCGCCGTGATCGGCTCCGATCCTGGCTATGGATTTGACGACATGGCCAGCGGGAAGTACGCCACCTATCAGCGCGGGAAGGTCTCACTTCCGCGCGTGGCCTCCGGCGCGGTGGAGCCAGCTGCTGCGCTGCCGGCGGGGCCCCGCTCCTTGCTGATGGGTGAGTCTGGCACCTTGCTGACGAGGGGCTCCACATCTTCCTCGTCGTTGGCGAAATTGGCTTTCGACCGAAGGCTTGCTAGCAATCCACGCACTTACGGGAAGTTTTTGGCTGATCTGCTCGAGCGTGACATGCTCGAGGTTGGCGCTTCGTTCTCGCAGGTGGCGCCCTTCTTTGTCTACAAGAAGGACGGGGCCCTCAGGCTGATCTTCGACACCAGGGCCTCGAACACGGAGTTCGCTGAGCCCGACTACGCCCCCTTGGCAGCGGCGCAGGCCCTCGGCAGTATCGAGCTGCAGGCGGGGGGGCGCCTCTTCGTGGCCCAGGGCGACGTCACGTGCTGCTTCTACCAGTTCTTGCTGCCAGTGCACCTGCGTGAGGCCTTTGGCCTGCCGCCCGTGCCCTGGGCCGCGCTGCCGCTCGCCCCTCGCCAGCTGGTTGGGGCGCGCCCGCCTGATGGCATGGTGCATTTGCGCCTCAGAGTGGTGCCGATGGGCTGGTCATGGGCTGTCTACTTCATACAGCATGTCATGATGGAGATCCTTCGCCCCTGCGCCCCGGCGGACCGCTGGCTGGCCCAGCACGTGCCGCGCGAGCCCGTCTGCCCCGGCTCGGGGGCCTCGCTGATCTACATCGACAACTTCGCGGCCCTTGGCACGAGCGCCTCGGAGGCGAACGCTCGCCTGGAGCACATGCTGGGCGCCGTGGAGGCCGCTGGAGTGGACGCCTCGCCGGAGCCTGCCGGCGCGCCGGTGCTCGGGTTCGAGCTGGACTCGACTGGCACCCAGTGGCGGCCGACGGCGAGGAAGTTCTGGAAGGTCGCACTGGCCCTCCGCACTCTGGGCTGGGGGCGCCAGCGCCGCACGGGGCGGCAGATCGCACGCGTCGTCGGCCACGCCTCGGCCATCATGCTGCTGCGGCCGGAGATGCTGTCCGTCTTCTCGGCCGTGTACGTTTTCGCCGACCGCTACTTCGGGCAGCCGGCACGCGTGTGGGCCTCTGTGCGGCGCGAGCTCCGAGCTGCCTGGGCGCTGCTGCCACTCGCCGTCGCCGACATGAGCCTGCCCTGGGCGCCCGCTGCCGCCTCGGTCGACGCCTCGCTGCACGGCTTCGGCGTCACCGAGAAGGTCTGGCCCCCCGCCGAGGTGGGCCGCGTCGGCCGCGCCTCGGAGCGGGGACGGTGCCGAGGGGCGCTGCGCACCTCCCGCCGCCCGCGCTGCCTGGTCGAGGGGGAGGAGGCTGAGCCCTCGCTGCGCGACATCGTCGACGCCTCGGACGAGCAGCTGCGTGCTCTGGGGCTGCGCTCCGCCTTCGAGGAGGTGCCGTCGGCCCTGGCACGCGGCGACGACTGGGGCGCGGTGGCAGCCCGCCGCTGGAGGCGCAAGGACAAGATCCTGGCGCTCGAGGCGGAGGCAGCCCTCGAGGCAGGTTCGGCGGCTGGCTCGAAGCCGTCAGAGCGCACAGAAGCGGCACTTAGTTTTGTCTGACTCAATGGCCTGGGTCCTCACCTCGTGCAAGGGACGGAGTTCGTCGTGGCACCTGCTGCGGAGGTGCCGCGAGTTTTGCGCTATGAGCTTGGCCCTCGGAGCACGTGTTTCTTGTCGGTGGATTCCCTCGGAGTGGAACTCGGCGGACGAGCCCAGCAGGAGATATGACCCATCGTCGTCTCATCATGCTCGTCACTTTCATACTGCACTTGCCCCCTCTGCTGATCGCCCTGGGAACGTCGATCTCGGTCGCCAGCCGCCGCCTCGGCTCGAGGATGATTGCGGCGACGCGCCCTTCCCACGGCCGCTCGCGCTCGCCGAGGCGCGGCTTCACGGGCCAGCGGGTGCTGCAGGGCTTCGCGAGCAGCTCGCGGCAGGGCGCTCCAGGCGGCAGGCCTTTGCGGGGCCTTTCGCCGCGGGGCTCCCCGGGCCCGAGCCCGCTGCTCTGCAGGGCGCTGGTGCCGGCGCGGAGCCAGAGGCCGAGCCGGGCCCCGTCGGCCCCGAGCCGGGCGCTGCGCCCTCGGGTGGCGCCGGAGCCGGAGGGCGGCGAGGCCAGCGGGAGGCCGCGGCTGGAGGGCATCGCCCTGCCGCGCCGCCACGCCTGCCCGAGCGGCCCGCCCTCTCTGCAGCCCGCGCTGGCTCCGGGCCGGCTGCCCTGCCGCACGCTGGCTGCTGCTGGCCCCCTGGGCTCGGGCCGCCGTCCTGCGCCGGGACGCCTGGCCCCCTATCGCGGGGAGACCGGCACGGCACGCCGGCAGCGCCGCGAGACGGCGCGGCGGCGCCCGGGCTCAGCGCTGCACTTAGCCGCCTGCAGCTCGGAGGAGGCGGAGGAGCTGGGGTTCCACATCAGCCGCCGCGGCCGTGACGCCGGCGACGCAGGGCAATTACTTGAACGCCTTGCGCAAGCTGCTGGCGTGGATGCACGAGACCAAGGCCCCCCAGCGCTTCCCCGCGAGCGAGTGGGACCTGCTGCTGGAGCAGTACGTGGAGTTCCTGCACGACCGCGGGCTGCCAGAGGGGGATGCCGCCAGCACGCTGGCTGCGGCGCGCTGGGCGCTGCCCGAGCTGCCGCGCCCGCTGCGCCAGAGCCTGCCACTGGCGACGGCTGCGGTCACAGGCTGGCGCCGGCTCGAGAAGCCGCTGTCGCGCCCGCCAGTCCCTCGGTCGCTGGCCGTACTCATGGCCCTGCGGCTCTGTGCCGACAGCAAGGCGGACTATGCCCTCTTCCTGCTGCTGACGTTCGAGACGTACATGCGGCCGAGCGAGGCGCTCAGCCTCCTCGGCCTACAGCTGGTGCCGCCCGTGCCGGGCGAGAAGGGGGCGTGCCGCATCTGGGCCATCCTGATCCGCGCGAGCGAGCTAGACGTGCTTGGCAAGACCGGCGAGTTCGACACCAGCGTCGCCCTGGACCTGCCGCGGCACCGCCTGCTGGAGCCTGCGCTGCGCCTGCTGAAGGCCAACAGGGGGGAGCGGGAGCGGCTCTTCACGTTCTGCTACACCGACTTCTTCCAGGTCTGGAACAGCTGTCTCAACAGCCTGGGCCTGGCGCAGCTGAAGGTGACGCCGTACTCCCTCCGGCACGGGGGGGCCTCGGAGGACGTGCCCTCCCGGTCGCGGGCTCTCCTCGACGTTCAGAAGAGGGGCGGGTGGCGCTCGTTCCAGAGCGTGCGGCGCTACGAGAAGCACGCCAGGCTGGGCTTGATGATGCACCGCATCCCCGCGCAGCTGCGCGAGGAGGCGCAGCGCCGCGAGCGCGAGCTGGCCCGGCTCTTGCTGCCGGCCTGCGTGCGGCGCGTGCTGATGCTACCATGCTGAAGCACAGCGTCTTCGTGGACCTCTTCGCTGGCACTGCGCCGGTGAGCAGGTACTTGCGCCGCAAGGGCTACGCCTGCATCGCCTTCGACAAGCTGCAGGGACCGCAGTTTGACCTTGGCCGTCGCGAGGTCGTGCTCACCATCGCGGGCTGGATGCGCGCGGGCCTGGTGTGGGAGCTGTGGTTTGCGACGCCGTGCATCACCACGACTCGGGCTCGCGCTGACAGGTCAGGTCGCATGCCGCCGCCGCTGAGATCGTCTGAGCACTACCGTGGCTTGCCGGACTTGTCTGCTCGTCATCGCGCCCAGGTGCGCGATGCCAATAGTCTGATCGACGCGGGAGGCCGCCTCCAGCAGCTCGCCTGGGATCTGGGAATCTGCTGCGGCGAGGAAAACCCACAAACCTCCATCCTCTGGTGCTTTCCCTCGCGGTGCCGGGCTATCGCTCGCGGCTCCGCGGTCGATGTGGATTTCTGTGCTGCTGGAGGTCCCATGCGCAAAAAGGACCAAGCTCGTTTTTCAGCATTTGTGGCACTTTCGAAGCCCCGCACCTGCGATGTCACGGTCGTGGTGGGCTCTGTTCGTTCACTGGCCGTAAACATGTGCACATCCGTGGGAAGATGGGAGGAAAATGGCTCTCTAAAGTTGCAGGGCCATACCCTCCTGTGATAGCTAAATTCATCGGCGATGTCCTCATTCATGTAGTCCATCGCCGTGCTGTGGCCACGCTCAGCCAATTTTGAATTGCCTTGCTCTGCCAGCTTACTGCATATAAATGGCGTGATTACGGGATTTCAGTCTCTGTGCCTGCGCCTGCGCTATCTCGGTGCGTGCGCGGGGTCCCGCATGATAAATCGCCAGCGTCGCACTTCGACTGAGAAAGAGTGCTGGCCAGAGAGCGGGCCATGCGAATGTCAATGGTAATGTTGGCGATCGCCATGGACACTGACTCTCAAGCCTTTTTCTGTCCGCCCAAAGCCAGCCCTCGCCTCGACAAACTTTTTGATGTGGGTTTCAGTCTCTGTGCCTGCGCCTGCGCTGTCTCGGTGTGTGCGCGGGGTCCCGCATGATAAATCGCCAGCGTCGCACTTCGACTGACAAAAAGTGCTGGCCAGAGAGCGGGTCAGCGTTATCGTTTTCGCCGTCGTCGCGATCGTTGTCAACGCCGTCGTCACCGTCGCCGTCGTCCTTGTCGTGGTCGTCGTCGTCTTCGTCGCCGCCGTCGCCGCCTTTGCCGTCGTCGTTGTAGCCGTCTTCGCCGTCGTTGCCGTCGTCGTCGCCGCCGTCGTCGTCGCCGTCGTCGCCGTCGTCGTCGTCGCCGCCGTTGTCGCCGTCGTCGCCGTCGTCGCCGTCGTCGCCACCGTCGTCGCGCCGATGTCGTCGACATCGTCGTCGCCGTCGTCGTCGTCGGCGCCGCCGTCGCCGTCGCCGTCGTCGCCGCCGTTGCCGTCGTCGTCGTCGTCGTTGCTTTCGTCGCGGCCGCCGTCGTATTCGTCGTCGCTTCCGTCGCCGTCGTCGCCGTCGTCGTCGCCGTCGTCGTCGTCGCCGTCGTCGCCGTCGCCGTTGTCGCCGTCGTCGCCGTCGTCGCCACCGTCGTCGCGCCGATGTCGTCGACATCGTCGTCGCCGTCGTCGTCGCCGCCGCCGCCGTTGCCGTCGTCGTCGTCGTTGCTTTCGTCGCCACCGCTGTCGTATTCGTCGTCGTCGCCGCCGCCGCCGCCGCCGTCGTCGTCGCCGCCGTCGTCGTCGCCGTCGTCGCCGTCGCCGTCGCCGTCTCTGCCGTCGTCGCCGTCGTCGTCGCCGCCGTCGTCATCGTCGCCGTCGTCGCCGTTGCCGTCGTCGCCATCGTCTCCGCCGCCACCGTCGCCGTCGTCTCCGCCGCCGCCGTCGCCGCCGCCGTCGTCGTCGTCGCCGTCGTCGTCGTCGTCGTCGCCGTCGTCGCCGTCGCCGTCGCCGCCGCCGTCGTCTCCGCCGCCGCCGTCGTCTCCGCCGCCGCCGTCGTCGTCATCGTCGCCGTCGTCGCCGTCGCCGTCGTCGCCATCGCCTCCGCCGCCGCCGTCGCCGTCGCCGTCTCGGCCGTTGTCGTCGCCGCCGTCGTCGGCGGAGTCAGGGCTTCCTTCCTTCGCTGGCCCCGCGGTGCTAGGTCATGTCGCCCGAGTCCGTCGGCGCCCTCCGCTGGCAATTGCCGGGCCCCGGCTGCCCGCTTCCCGAGGAGCGCGGGCGGGCCTGCCGTCAGCGGAGGCGTTCTCGAGGCCGGGACCTCCCACGATCCCGAGCTGTTGTTGCAAGTCGGTCGGCCGTCCTCGACGTCGGCCTCTGGGGGCCGTGGCCGGGCCCGGGGACCATCAGAGGTGGAGCCGGGGCCAGCAGAGCTGCGGGGGGTTGCAGTTCTGCTGGCCAGACCCATCCCTGCCCCTACGGTCAGACCGAGGTATAAGATCCAGGTCGGTTCGGGGAGGGTACCCTAGTGTTCTTCGTGTTTCTTGGATGCTCTCGTGCATCCTGGGGAGGCTACCCCTAGATGCTCGGTGTGTTTTGGCCGGCGGAGGGTCTCATGTTCTTCAGGGATGTTCTTCTGGCCGAGGTCCGATTGTACCCCTCTTGGACGGCCCCCCCGCAACACTCCCCGGGAAGGGGTCGGGACTTTTGGGGTCGCAGGTTGAAGAAAGCCACATCGGCAGACGTCAGAAGGGGGGGGTAGCGACCAGGGCGGGACAGCGTGGCCGGGGCCATTCGACCTCCCCAGATTCCGTGGCCCGCTCTTCTTCTGTCATTTGTATCGTTTGCGGGGATAGAGTCAGGGGGATGGGCGGACGCATCGACCCCCAATCGCCCATTCATCGCCGATAAGGGGCCCGATAGCCCTACCCCGCCCAGGCCCGAGCGGATTTGCTGCAGGAGACGTGTCGTCGATCTATCTGCAACGCATCGCCGATATAAGTTCGATGTTTCCCCCGCTTGAGCTGGTTCCACCATCGCGTTGCCTCTCGTTTCGATATGTCATCTGGTCCCCCCTCTGTCCGCGCACGTGCCTCGGGCTATGATTTGCAAACATCCCTGTTGGACGCCCCCCTTCTGGACGCCCCCCACTGCTGGTGGTCGCAAGCGCGGGGGAAGAGCCCAGCTCTTCGACGGTATGACGTTTTCCATCCTGGCGTTTTCCCTCGATGGCGGCCTCCAGGGCCTGCTGTCGGGCGCTGGGGCCATCAAATCTGGATCTGGGGCGAAACTATTTCTGCAGATGGGGTCGGCGAGCCACAGCGTTGGACGCCTTGCAGGCGGAGGAGGTTCAGGGATGGAGCGTCGTCTTGTGGCATTTTGGAGCCTTTGGGGGACCTCTGGGGGCGCCTTCGTCGCCGCGCTGGATTCGACCAACTCTGGGACGTGCCGTGGGGTTCGGATTGGGGGAGGAGGTTTCGGATTTCCAGGCGTCGCGAGAAACACCGCGCCTGCATCCCTCAAGTCCGGGAACCCGCTTATAAACAGATCGGTTGAGGACGAAAAGCGTGTCCCTGGGATGGTGTCGAGAGATCCGGAGTCTGTGCACTGAGCGAAAGTCACGACGACGGTTGAGGTGGGGTGAGGAGGCGCGGTCGATTGTCTTGCCAGGCGTACCCGGCGTCCGCCGCTGTGGCATGTTCTGTTTGTGCTGCAGGTGGGGGCCATCGCTACCGCGACCGGCGGCAGGTGAATTACAGGGCCCGCCTGCGCGTGCCCCCCCCCCCCGGCCGAGGTACCGGCCTGAGCCGAGAGCGAGGGGTAGAGATGGTGGTGGGATAACAGGCGGGGGGCGAGGGAGGACAGGCGGGGGAGGGAGGAGGCGGAGAAGGAGCAGGGTTGGGTCAGGCAAGGGGAGGGGGAGGAGGCGGAGGCGGAGGAGGCAGAGGAGGAGGAGAAGGAGGAGGAGGAGAGGGAAAATGGGGGATGGGGGGGAGTAGATGTTTTTCTCCCTGGTTGGTTTTCGCCCGGTTCGTTTCGCCCGGTTCGTTTCGCCCGGTTCGTTTCGCCCGGGTTTGCTTTCGCCCGGTTGGCTTTCGCCCGGGTTGGTTTTCGCCCGGGTTGGTTTTGGCGGGGTTGGCTTTCGCTGGGGTTGGTTTTCGCCCGTGTTAGGTTTCGCCTTGGTTGGCTTTCGCCCGGGTTGGTGCTTCGACCGGGATGGTTTTCGCTTGGGTTCGTCTTCGCCCTCCTCTTCCTCTTCTCATCCTCTCGCTCCTGTCCTTTCATGCTGCTGCTGCTGCTCCTTTCCCTCCTCTCCTCATCTGGCACCTCTTGCCCGCGGCCGGTTGGCTGGAGTTCCGTTGCGTCCCGCACACCGCCCTTGTTCAGGGCCCCCTGAGAGCCAGGGTCAGTCAGTGCTACGTGCCCCCCTGGCAAAGCCAGACGCGTACTCACTCGAGCATGCCCCGCCCGCCCGACCCTACCCGCCTGTTAGGGTCTGCGAACCCGACCCGATCCTTCCCGCCCGTTAGGGTCCGCCTGCCCGACCCGACCCGCCCGTTAGGGTTCACGCGTGTTCACTCCAACGTGCCCCACACTTTCTTGCCCCGCCCGCCCGACCCGACCCGCCCTTCAGGGTCCGCCCGACCCGACCCGATCCGCCCCGCCCGTCGGGGTCCGCCCGCCCGACCCGACCCGCCCGTTGGGGCTCACGCGTGCTCACTCGAGCGTGCCTCACACGTTACTGCCCCGCCCGCCCGAGCCGACCCGCCCGTCAGGGTCCGCCCGACCCGACCCGACCCGACCCGTCCGTTAGGGTCCGCCCGCCCGACCCGACCCGCCCGTAAGGGCTCACGCGTGCTCACTCCAACGTGCCCCACGCTTGAGTGTCACGCCCGCCCGACCTGACCCGCCCGTTAGGGTTTGCCCGATCCGACCCGATCTTCCCCGCCCATCAGGGCCCGTCCGCCCAACCCGACCCGCCCGTTAGGGTTCACGCGTTCTCACTCCAACGTATCCCGCATTTCAGTGTCCCGCCCGCCCGACCCGACCCGCCCGTTAGGGTCACGCGTGCTCACCCCAACGTGCCCCACACGTGGGTGCCCCCCCGCCCGTTACGGTCCGCCAGCCCGACCTTTCCCGCCCGTCAGGGTCCGCCCGCCCGACCCGACCCGCCCGTTAGGGTTCACGCGTGTTCATTTCAACGTGCCCCACACTTGAGTGTCCGACCCAACCCGCCTGTTAGGGTTTGCCCGACCCGACCCGATCCGCCCCGCCCGTCGGGGTCCGCCCGCCCGACCCGACCCGCCCGTTGGGGCTCACGCGTGCTCACTCGAGCGTGCCTCACACGTTACTGCCCTGCCCGCCCGAGCCGACCCGCCCGTCAGGGTCCGCCCGACCCGACCCGACCCGACCCGACCCGTCCGTTAGGGTCCGCGCGCCCGACCCGACCCGCCCGTAAGGGCTCACGCGTGCTCACTCCAACGTGCCCCACGCTTGAGTGTCACGCCCGCCCGACCCGACCCGCCCGTTAGGGTTTGCCCGATCCGACCCGATCTTCCCCGCCCATCAGGGCCCGTCCGCCCAACCCGACCCGCCCGTTAGGGTTCACGCGTTCTCACTCCAACGTATCCCGCATTTCAGTGTCCCGCCCGCCCGACCCGACCCGCCCGTTAGGGTCACGCGTGCTCACCCCAACGTGCCCCACACGTGGGTGCCCCTCCCGCCCGTTACGGTCCGCCCGGCCCGACCTTTCCCGCCCGTCAGGGTCCGCCCGCCCGACCCGACCCGCCCGTTAGGGTTCACGCGTGCTCATTTCAACGTGCCCCACACTTGAGTGTCCGACCCAACCCGCCTGTTAGGGTTTGCCCGACCCGACCCGATCCGCCCCGCCCGTCGGGGTCCGCCCGCCCGACCCGACCCGCCCGTTGGGGCTCACGCGTGCTCACTCGAGCGTGCCTCACACGTTACTGCCCCGCCCGCCCGAGCCGACCCGCCCGTCAGGGTCCGCCCGACCCGACCCGACCCGTCCCGCCTGTTAGGGTCCGCCCGCCCGACCCGACCCGCCCGTTAGGGCTCACGCGTGCTCACTCCAACGTGCCACACGCTTGAGTGTCACGCCCGCCCGACCCGACCCGCCCGTTAGGGTTTGCCCGATCCGACCCGATCTTCTCCGCCCGTTAGGGTCCGTTTGCCCAACCCGACCCGCCTGTTAGGGTTCACGCGTGCTCACTCCAACGTGCCCCACATTTCAGTGTCCCGCCCGCCCGACCCGACCCGCCCGTTAGGGTCATGCGTGCTCACCCCAACGTGCCCCACACGTTAGTGTCCCTCCCGCCCGTTACGGTCCGCCCGGCCCGACCTTTCCCGCCCGTCAGGGTCCGCCCGCCCGACCCGACCCGCCCGTTAGGGTTCACGCGTGCTCATTTCAACGTGCCCCACACTTGAGTGTCCGACCCCACCCGCCTGTTAGGGTTTGCCCGACCCGACCCGATCCGCCCCGCCCGTCGGGGTCCGCCCGCCCGACCCGACCCGCCCGTTGGGGCTCACGCGTGCTCACTCGAGCGTGCCTCACACTTTACTGCCCCCCCGCCCGATCCGACCTGCCCGTCAGGGTCCGCCCGACCCGACCCGACCCGTCCCGCCCGTTAGGGTCCGCCCGCCCGACCCGACCCGCCCGTTAGGGCTCACGCGTGCTCACTCCAACGCGCCCCACATTTCAGTGTCCCGCCCGGCCGACCCGACCCGCCCGTTAGGGTTTGCCCGATCCGACCCGATCTTCTCCGATCGTCAGGGACCGTCCGCCCAACCCGACCCGCCCGTTAGGGTTCACGCGTGCTCACTCCAACGCGCCCAACATTTCAGCGCCCCGCCCGACCGACCCGACCCGCACGTTAGGGTCCGCCTGACCCGGCTGGACCCGTCCCTCCCGTTAGAGTCCGCCCGCCCAGCCCTACCCGGCCGGGCGTTGGAACCCGTGCCCATTTCTGGCGAAAGGCCCACCCTGGTGAAAGCCCACCCTGGCGAAAGCCCACCCTGGCGAAAGCCAATCCCGGCGAAGGGCAACCCCAGCGAAAGCCAACCCCTGGCGAAAACCTACCCCAGTGAAAACCAACCCCTGGCGAAAGCCCACCCCGGCGACAGCCCACCCCGGCGAAAGCCCACCCCAGCGAAACGAAACCCGGCGAAAGCCAACCCCGCCCGGCGAAAAGGATCCGTGCCGTGTGGGGTGGGGGGGATGGGGGGAACACCGGCGGAGAGGGGAGAGGGGGAAAAAGTGCAGGGCAAGGTGGTGGAGGAGGGGAGCACGATGAGGAGGAGGAGAGGAGGAGGAGGAGGAGGAGGCGGAGGAGGAGGAGGAGGAGCAGCAGGAGGAGCAGCAGGAGGAGCAGGAGGAGCAGGAGGAGGAGGAGCACGAGGAGGAGCAGGAGGAGGCGGGGGCGGAGGCGGAGGCAGAGGCGGAGGCAGAGGAGATGGTAACTCGGGGGGGGGCGGGAAGCAGGAGGGGCAGGACGGGGGAGGACGGGCGGACAGGGGGGAGGACGAGCGCGAGCGGGGGAGGGGTCGGGGGCGAGGCGCCCGGCCCGATCCCGCAAGGGTGCTCCTGGAGGCGAGCTGCGGGCCGATCGGCGCGCCCGAAGTGTCCTGGGCGGGCCCTGGCCGAAGCCGTGGGGTCCAGGACCCGCTTCCCTCGAGACCCTTGTCCTGCAGGCCTCAGGACCCGCTTCCCTCGAGACCCTTGTCCCAGACCTCCAACGAGGCGATTCACCACCCACCGAACCACCAACCCGAAGGCTCAAATTTACCCTCGATTTCCAGTGGCGGGGGCCGTCGGGAAACATCGAAAAAAAACACATGTGGAACCCTTACCCCCCCCCAACCCGAAATTCGAAATTCGGGTCTTCGGGTTGGGTTGGGGTGGTCTGGCAGGTAGTCAGCGATGTTTCCAGTGCAGGGTCCCAGGCCCCTTCTTCCCCAGGGGTCGCCCTTCGCCCCAGAGCCACGTTTGATGGTCCTGGGGCCCGACGAGCGGGCCCCAGAGGCCGACATCGAGGACAGACGCCCAGATTGAAACCTTCTGGTCGTCGGTCCCCGTCGCAGCCCCGGCGCCGGAGGACTGCGGGGCGGCGGAGCTGGTGCCGGTGCTCGAATTCTTGGAAGGGGAGCTGATCTTCCCAGAGTTCCTGCGCCTCCTGATCAAGGCCTGCACTGTCTCGTGCCGCGACGCTTCTGCCCAGATCTCCGACGACTGTGTTTTTCAATCCGGCGGCGAAATCCGAACCCTAGCCTCGCCGAGAAACGATCGAGGCAACTCGATGGGCGGCGGAGGTACAGTTCGAAATTTCTCGACCACGTGGCGAAACCCGAACCATACCTTCGCCTCCCATCGATTGAGGAGAGTCGATGGTTGGTGGGGGATGGGGTTGGGATGTGGCCACCTATCGATCTCGGCCTCCGGGGAGCACTACTGGGCCCCAGGACCATCAAATATGATTCTGGAACGGAAAAACGGCCTTGGGGAAAGGGACGGGACCTCCTAGGCCGCGCACTGAAAGGTTCACATCGTCGGATATTTGGGTACGTTTCCCCCCCACTAGCCGGCCTCAATTGGAGGCGGAGGTGGAAGAGGAGAAGCAGCGCCCCGCCACCTGGGAGTGCTGACGGGCCCACTCGACACCACGTTCCTGGCGACGGCGGCGGATCAGTCTGTCCATGCGAGCGTGATGCTCCAGGTCCCGCGATGTCTTTGCTTGTCGCGTTTTGCCCCTCATCGGCGATGCCACGGCTTTGGTTGGAGCGCGCTCAGCAATTGTCCCAGCATAGTTTCATTGTTTCATCGGCCTGCGTGTCCTCCTCGCCGTGAAGAAGAAGGACCATGGAGGATTTTGGGGTTGGCTGTCTTCGGCCTCCCGGCGGGCCCTTCCTGTACCCCTGGGGCTGTGGAGCAACGGCTCAGGACGAAAAGCGCGTTTTCTTCTTCCTCCTCACGTGCCTCTACCCCATACTCAGCGGCGAGCCTCTGGGGGAAGTGAGAAGGAGAGGCCTTCTCTGAAGGCTCGGAGGTCCCCCGGCCTTCTGAGAAGTTTTCGGAGCGGTCTTTGAAGACGCAGGAGACTTCTCAGAAACCGCGATGGAGTATGAGAAGTCACGCCGTCTTCTGAAAAGGCCTTCTCCTTCTCGCTTCCCTCCTCGCTTGCCGCCGAGTCAGCGCACGGTCAACCCTCACAGGAAGGATGAGTGGTTTTCCAAGGTTACCCTTGCATCCTTCCCTTCGGCCCATCCTTGGTCACCGCTGTTGGCCGCGCCCTGCTCGCAAAGTGTCGACATGGCCTTGCAAGGCCCTTGCATCCTTGTCGCGCGTCCTTATCATGCGGGCTGTTTTACGGGCCCGTCCTGAATTTTGGCTGTACAGTTGTCGTCTGATGTTTGCAGCGAGAGATCGCATCAAATGTCTGATGTGGGTTTCGTCATGGAGGTTTTAAAACGGGTTTGAGCAGAGGGGCCCTTTCAGTGATGTCATCGAGTTGCCTGGCACTCTCAGCCATCGCTGGAGCCCTTGCTGCTGTCATGATCTCACTCAAGTTGTCTTTTTGTGTCGAAGCTGGGACCCGCATGGTGGTGCCGGGGCAGCGGATCCCTGCGTCGACGCTCGTCTGCTCCATCGCGTCGCTGCGGGGGCAGGGTCTGTTTTGGGCGCAGGGGCCAGAGGGTGGCCTCGAGCCCGGGGTCCCTGCCCCACCGCCGCCGCCAGGGCCGGAGAGCTCGGCGGTGGAGGAGCTGGCGCGGGCCGTGAGGGCGCTGCGGCTGGCCCAGGCGAGCGCGACGAGCTGCGCGCCTTGCCCCATCCTGCCTGCGCTGGAGTGCCCGGCCGAGACGGACCGCTGGGCGGAGCAGCTAGCGCTGGTGCTGCCGAGCCTGGTGGTGTGGGCCCTCTGGGGTCTCCAGGCCTGCCGTGGACGTCGTGACGATGATGCTGGCGCAGCGCGCCCTGCGCCCCCTGCCCGCGGAGGACGGGCGGGGCGCTGACCTCCCGATCGGCGCCTTGGTCCGTGTTTCCTACACGGGGGAGGCCATGGACCACATGCGGGTGGTGTTGTGGCCGAGCCGCCGCCAGAACTCACGAGGGCATGTACGCCAACGATGTATCTACTATGCGCTTTCGGCCGATGGCGATGTCAGGGAGGAGGACCTGAGCGGGAAGAACCCCTCGACTGGCCCCTCAGGCGGGTCGCTCCTCGACCCCGCGACGGGAGACCCTCCTGACGACCGTCGGCTCTATCGTTTTCGGCAGCGCCCGTCCGTGGATGACTACGTGCAGCACGTTGTCGACTGCCGGGACACGATGTTGAGGCGGGGCCAGTCGGAGTCCGAGGAGCCAGCGGAGGTCTTGATGGACGATGGAGTGACGCGTCCTAGCCTGGACCACCTGCCGTGGCACGGCCCCTCGCACCCATAGGTGATGGCCGAGCCGCTGCATGACAGGCCCATCGGCACGATCGTCGACCCCCCTGCCCGAAGGCACGATCCGCGTCGGCGACCACGCTCTCTGTCCTCCTCGGAGCCGAGGCCGCTGGGTGAGGCTCGAGCGGGTGGAGCCGGGCATGATCGCGGACTGGACCGCCAGGAGAACGGACGAGCTGCTCGCGGCGATCGCTCCGCCTCCTGCTCCTGCTCCTGCGGCCAGCGAGGTGGGGGTCGGGGGCACTGACAGTCCGCCGTTGCCTCCCCCATCTGGCCGCGGGCCCGTCGAGGCCCACCTCAAGGACAGGCTGGGCCTCGCCGACCGAGGACAAGTCTGGAGGAGACGCAGGCAACGACCTGCGCACGAGAGGAGGAAGGAGTTCAGGGAAGCAGTCGCCCAGAGCTCATACGTGTCCTGGGGCCATCGTAGGTTGCCAGCCGATCGCACCTGCCTGCGCACATGTAAGGGGATGATCAACATTGTGGGCTCTCATCGTGGATGGTCGGAGCGCTTTTTGCGTGACAAGGGGATCAGTTCAACGGATCGGGTTGCTTATGAGCTTCGGATTTCGTGTGACATACTTGAGGAAGCGGGAAAGTTCGACCAGCTCAATTTGGGAGGGATCGCCTGCCGGGAGGCGGCGGCCCTTCGTCTGAACCTTCTGGTGGAAGCACGCAAGAACACTGGCTCGGCCTCGCACCCGAATGCGAAGTACCGCTCGCCGCTGACCGAGGTTGACCAGTTGATGGCGCCAGGGCTTTGGTCACATGTGTCGAGGCGCGCCAAGGAGGAGCATGAGCTGCTGCAGGGCGACAAGAAGGCAGAGGCAGCGGCTGGGGCGGTGGCCGCGCGGGCCCTGCGCGAGGCGGGCGCCGGCAAGGGCGGCGGCAGGGGCGGCCGGGGCAACGGGGCCTGGGCCCGGGCCCTAGCGCCGGCCGCGCAATCGGTGAAGCGGAATAGATAGATGCGCCGCAGCGTTTTGAGGGAGTTCTCGCATCAAGGACCCCCGTTGGCGACCTTGTCCCCGATGGAGCAGGCAGGCTTGTTTTCCGCGAAGAAGACCGGGGGCGACAAGATTCGGTTTATCGCGGATGCGCGCCGAGCGAATGCTTGGTTTGGCGCGCCCCCTGCAGCGCGCAGCACCGGTCGCGCGAGGGCTTGCGAGGGCTTCAGCCGGTTAGAGACCACGCTGCACGGCGACGTCCCCGTCGGCTCGCCAGAGGGAGAGGAGTTGCTGAACGGCTTGTGGCCTTTCCCGGGCACGACCGACGTCAAGGGCTGCTCCTACAGGATGCCCATGCCGCTGAGCCTCGCGAAGTTCATTTCACTTCCTGCCGCTCCTGCCGACGTACTTGGTCTGGGAGGGCAGGGGCTGGAAGGGATGGGGCTGGGCGCTGACACCCCGGTTTCCCCCTGCGTCGGCGCGCCCCCCACGGGGCTTTCGCAGTCCGTCTTCCTCGCCCAGGGCGCTAGCGAGGAGAGGCCATGCGACGCGACCGATGGCCTGGCGGGGCAACGGCAGACGCGGAGAAGATCATGATGAGCGACCGAGGCCCTCCACTCGCGGTGGAGGTCGGCCCCGGCCGGTGCGGGGGGGCGCGCGTCTACGTGGACAGCGTGGGCGCGCTCGCCTCTTCGGAGAGCCTGGCCGCGGGCGCCCTCGAAAACTGGATCGGCTTGTTCGAGGCTGTCGGGCTGGGCCTGACCAAGGGCCGCGCCTTCTGCTCGGGCGCATGCGAGGCGCTCGGGGCCAAGCTCGGCCTCGAGCTCACGAGGTCAGGCGTCAGCGACGGCCGCTTCTGGAAGGCCCACCCCGGGCTGGGGGGCCTACTCGCCCGCGGGCGAGCGTGAGAGCGGGCCCTGGAGATGGCGCTGGGCCGCTGCACCTTCCGCGGGCTCGCCCTTCGAGGGTCGCTGAGGTGCCGGCGCGCCTCGCACCGCCATGTGCAGCGCCGCTGCCTAGAGACCGCGCCCGCGGCCGGAGGTGGTCAAGGAGATCCTGATGTTCCGCGGGCCCCTCGCCCTCACGACGCCGGCGAGGGCGGCCGAGGCGCGGCGCAGTCGTTTTGGCCCGAGAGCGCGGTGGAGAGGGTGAGCCCGCTGCCCGCGCGGGCTCGCTCTCGCGCCGCTCAGGGGCGGCCGGCGCGAGAGAGCGCGATCGCAAGCGTCCTGTGCAGTTTTGTGGACGAGGGAAATTCTGACCCGCTTGCTTCCGACCACCTGGCCCTTTTGGGAGCTTGACCCTGTCATTTATGAGGCCCCCAGGCAGTGGCTCCGCAAGGGGGTTTGGGAGACAGTTCGGTCGGGGGTCCTGGCGTTCACCCGAGACATCCTGATCTTAGAAGCCAGGGCCCTGGTGAAATTAGCGGCTCGCAAAGACATCGCGCGGGGCTTGCGTGCTACGCGGCTTCGCGTGTCGGGGTTCGGGGGTGGTGTTCTTGACTTCTATTGAAGCCTCTCGTGGCGGTCTTGGCTCTGACCGCATCGCCGCGAGGACCTCGCCCCCGGTGTTTCTGCAGTGGCTGAAGCCGCTTCACTCTATATGCAAAAATCGTCAAAACTTTTCTGGGGACGACAGGCTATGTTAGACTATTTGGGTATGTTTGATTTTTTTGTCCGTTCAAAATCTGCCCGTAGGGGGACATGCCCAACCTAACGATGAGGTGGCCACACACACACACACCATGTGGAGAGTCCGTGGGGATTCGAGGTGGTCGCTCGGTTTTGGACGTGGGTCGTGCTCCGAGGACGCAGCAGGGCGACCGTGGAGCCCCCCGCGCAAGAAACCACAGTATCCAGAAATTCTGTTACAAAGTTGAACATTCGGCCACGCTCAGAAAAATGGAGGGGGGAGGGCTCCTTGCAAGCACCCCTGCCTCTCGGAAGGCGCGGGCTTGATCTATACATGCAGGACCGGCGCCTTCTAAAAGGCAGCCTCCTTTCAAGAAGCAGTCACCTTGCCCCTGCCTCCTTGCGCGCGCCGCCAGGACATGGCTTTGTTTGGGTTGTTGTCCTCTTGTCGTTTGTTGGCGGATTAGAGCCGTAACATGTGACGTGCTTTCCCGCATCGCGTCGGAGTGTTATTGTTTTTGGTCCTCGTCGTCGTCCTTCTTTCCCTAACCTGAATTATTTCTTCCCCTCTTCCACCCCCTGTTCCTCATCCTCTTTTAGTCCTTCTTGGAGTTCGCCTGTGGCCCTCTTCAGCCATTTTGGGATTGGCTTGGGATCCTCTTGGCTTGTCTTGGTCGGAGGCCGCTTCGGGGCACTGCTGGGCCATCTCCGGGTCCTCCGGGGAAGTTGTTGGTGTCGTTGTGGGCCCTCTTCCCTGAGCCTTTTTCTCTGCATTGCATGAAGATCCTACGGCTTGAATGCGCCTCGTACAGGGCGAGAGTTCCTGCGGTCACGCAGGGACAGTTGACATTGCAGCTTCCCGCTCCAAGAAAGCAATGTCGATGTGGAAAAGTGACGGTGTCTTCAAGCAGTCCACACGTGAGCTTCCGAAATTGTTTTCGAGCCTTCAGGGGGTCCAAGTAAGGCGCTTACTTGATTGCTCGGTGGGTGTTTTTTTGTTGTGGCGCACCTGCGCGCGCGTGCTCGCGTTCGCGCGCGCATTCACCTTTGCGCGCGTGCGCGTGCGTGCGTGTGTGCCGAGACCGGGCCTGCAGGCTGGGGAAAGTGGAGAGGCACGGGGATGGGGACGGGGAGAGGGGATGGGAGGGATGCGGGAGGGGAACTTGGAAACGCGAAGGGACGGCGGTGGAGGAGGTAGCGGGGAACGAGGACGGGCCCCGCACGCCGTAAGTGTTTGTGCATTCGTTGGCGTCGCCGCGGGCGTTGTTTGTCGGTGGGTGCACGAATCGGAAGCCGCGTGCTCTCTTGGAGTGTCCGTGGCTCCAGGCATGTGGCCGCGTGTGAAGGATGGGGTGCGCGTAAATGCTTGCGTAGCGCGCAGCGCAGAGAGTGAATCGAAACCGTCAGAACGAAGCGAGCCTGGCAAACTTCAAATCCCACCCGTTCTGTGTCGTGTCAATGAACTTGCGGAGGCGGTGGCTACCATTCAGGTCAGTGCGGTGATTTCTCGGGATTTCGAGGTCACTGCACGGTCTGTCAGCGCGCCGCTTTGGGGCCCACGGTGAGACAAGGAGGGCGAGGATGCGTTTCACGACTGCCCCCGCCACCCCCGTGGGCGAGGTGGCCGACTACGGCTCGCGCAGCAATTCCGTGCTCTCAGAGGCCGCGCTCGCCTCGAGGCTCTCCCTCCGTGCTCTTTAGCTCGCCTGGGGTCTCCTTGAGAAGCCGCCCTCGCCCCCCGGCCAGTCGAGCTCCGCACCCCCCCCCCAGACATCCAACGCGCACTGGCAGACATCTGCGCTGAGGGTCCTCGTCGTTCTCGGGGTAGCTGGCGGCCTCCGCTGGGCACGGGGCCGTCCAAGAAGGACTCGGGAGCAAAACCCGTCCCCAGGGAGGATAGGACGGGATCCCAGGCTGAATTTGCCTCGTGTCAAATCCCTCACGCGTACAGCCCCATGACTCCATCTTTGACTGGCCAACTCTTCCATCCTACCGTCGAAGAAGAGAACACGGCAAAAACATAGACATTCGGAGACCCGCTCAGAATCTCTTGGACGGGCGTTGGACCCCCCCTGCTGACGCCTTCAGTGCCCCCGTGGCGTCGCTACGCGCGGCAAGGAGGGGGCCCATCGCCGATCCAAGAAATCCCCGCGGACCTCCGAAACGTGGCGTTTGATATGTTATACGCATCGTTTCATCTTCTGCACGAGGGAGGACGGGGACAAATAGTAAGGAGGATCGGATTGGCATTCGTGGTTCTACCTCCGCGCTTACCTTTTCCTCGCTTGTGCACATGCCGCTCCTATGCACCCCATGTGCCCTTGCATCGTTTTCTCTCTCTTCCTCTCTATAGATGTATGCGTCTCGCTGTCTCGCGACCTTGTGTTCCTTGACAGTTGCCAGCGTGTTCCCGCTTCTCCCGCGTGTTGGTTTCACCCCCGCATGGCTTCAAATGTTGATGCGTTGTGTGTGTGTGTGTGAGTGTGTGTGTGTGTGTGCGTTTCGATGGGAGCGTTCTCGGTCCTGCGAAGATGGTGTCTCTGTCTCCACTTCAGCACTGGCCGTATTTGAAGGTTGGTGTTTTGTTAAGAGCGACCTTCTGGCCCAGCGCTTGTCTCGGCTATCTGTTGCCACCGCAGCCCCTGCCCCTTCGCCTTACCCTGATCAGTTTGCTCCGCCTCATCGTCATTATCGTCATCGTCACTAACCGCATCGTTATCAACATCATCATCATCATCAGCATCAGCATCAGCATCAGCATCAGCATCATCATCGTCATCGTCATCGTCATCGTCACCACCACCACCACCATCATCATCATCATCAGCATCATCAGCATCAGCATCATCATCAGCATCATCATCAGCATCAGCATCATTATCATCATCAGCAGCAGCAGCAGCATCATCATACAGCGCCTACCGTATCCTCCTCCACCCCGCCTCCTGCTGATCATGATCCGCCTCATCCTGGGTGCAAAAGCCCCCCCGCTCTCATTGCGCAGCAAACGATGGGTCACATCTCGCAACTGCCACTTCGGCATCAATGTCCTCTAGGACACCCCATTCGGCGGGTAGAACGTCATGAATCGCAATGGGAAGGGATTGATGGGAGGGGGATGATGTCAGACGTGGCGCGAAAGCACCTAGCCTGTGTCACCTCCTCTACCGTTTCTCCCCCCTTACCTCTCTCTCCCTCTCTTTTCTTACCCTCCCCCTTCCCTCCTGCCCCCCTCCTCACTCCTCCCTCGTCCTTATTCACCCTCATCCTCCCTCCTCCTTTTTCTCTTGCCTCCTCCCTCTCTCTTCCCTCCTCCCTCTCCAGCCCTCATCCCACTTCCCTCCTTCTCCTTCCCTCCTCCCCTCTTCCCTCCTGACCCCCCCCTTCCCCTATCTCTCCCTACATCCGCACGTGCCTCTCATCGCTCGCTCGCCCTCAGCTCCGTGACCCTGCCTCCCGCCCGCCCTCCTCCCCCCAGCCCCTTCGCGGCCTCCCATGTCCTCTTGCTCCGTCCCTCCCTGCCGCTTTCCTCCCTGCCTCCTCTTCCTCAGTCCCTCCCTCCCTCCCTCGTGCTCGATCTCTCCCTCCCTCCCTCCCTGCCTCCTCTTCCTCCCCCCCCCTGCCTGCGCTTCCCTCCTGCTCCGTTTCCCTCCTCGCTGATCCTCCTGGCGCAGCTGTGGATAAACTATCCCATGCTCTAGTACCTCCCTGAGTGCCGTCCCCGTCCCTACAGACGTGTTCGGGTGGTTCCCCGTGAAGCCTACAGCGAATCTGGTAGTCTCCGTTGCACCTCCTGCCTTGCTTCTCCTTCTTCTTCTGCTGCTATGCCCTCCCCCTGCGCCGTCCTGATCCTCATCCCCCGCTCCTCCCGCCGACTCCCCGCTTCCCCTCCTGCTCCCTCCTCTCTCCCCTGGAGGATCTCGCCGCTCGCGCGGGCCCCCGCGACCTCCCGCGCGCGGGGGCGGGAGAAGGTTCGAGTGCTTCATGCGGCACGTCTTCCTCCCCAGCCTGCAGGCCGGGAGGGCGGGGGGCCGGGAGGGCGGGGGGCCGGGAGACGAGAGAGAGAGAGAGAGAGAGAGCGAGGGAGACAGAGACCGAGACAGAGACAGAGACACAGCGAGAGAGAGAGAGAGAGCGAGAGAGAGGGAGAGAGAGAAAGAGAGAGAGAGAGAGAGAGAAATTACAAGAGAGAGAAAGGGGGACAGAGGCAGGAAACATGACAGGGAGAGAGGAGGGAGGGAGAAAAAGGAGGAGGAGGAGGAGGAGGAGGAGGAGGAGCAGGTGGAGGAGGAGGAGGAGGAGGAGGAGCAGGAGGAGGTGGAGGGGGTAGGGAGGAGGAGGAGGGAGGAGGAGGAAGGAGGAAGAGGAGGAGGAGGAGGAGCAGGAGGAGGAGGGAAGAGGAGGGAAGAGGAGGGAAGAGGAGGGAGGAAGAGAAGGACCAGGGTAAGCCTAGGATGCACCATAGATGTTGCAGCGCAGCCTTCCAGTCCAAGTTGCATCTGGAGTCCCCGTACGTTTGTCACTGTCAGCCTGGGCCGTGCCTCCTTGAACGTGAGCTCGCTGTGGGCCTGCCGTACAGGCGAGAAGCCAACATTGAAGCGGAGCCGGCCCCACCTTCGTGACAATCACAGTGTCAAAAACACGGGGGCGGGCCCAGGATGAGGACAAATCGACGCCCCAAAAAGCCACCAAAAAGGCTCCAGAAAGACCCGAGAAGCTCCCGAGAAACCCCACCGAGCTCGCAGGAGGCCTCTACACAGACCCCCAGAAGCCCGCCAGAAGCCCTTCGTCCTCCATGCTCCGGAACAGCCCTTCGGAGCACGTGGTCTTGGCTGCACTCCCCGACTCGCCCACCAAATGTCGAGGCCCGAGGACGCCCCTATGACGCTCGCAAGACGCTCCAGAAACGCCTCTCCCGCACACGTGGATCAGATGACAATGATGCTGATCGTCGGTGGTCCGTCGTCGTCGTCGTCGGTCGTCGCTGGCACGCTACAGGCCAAACCCTTCCTTGAACTTCGCAGTATCCGCCCGAAAATCACGCATGGGTGAAAGGGAGGAACCCGGAAGACCACATGGAAAAGGTCCCATGGAAATTGACACCGTTTTCGGAGTCGACTAGAACCTAAGCGCGCGCGTGGTTCTAGTTCTTTTAAAACATTTGCAAGAGCTTCAGGGATTAAGGGTGGGTGCATGTCAAAATGTGGTTCTCGCCTGAGCGCTTCGCACATTCGTTTTGAATTTGCAAGGGTTTCATTGATTGAGGGCGAGTGGTTTTGAAAATGTGGCTCTCGCCTTCGCGACGCGCACATTCAGTTGAAACATTTGCAAGAGTTTCACGGATTGAGGGCGGTTCTTGTGGAAAACGTGGCCTTCGCTTGAGCGCCGCGCATCTTAGCTTTAAGCATTTGCAGGAGTTTCCACGAATTCGCATGATCCGCGTACCAGAAATGGCGTTCTGGAATGATTCAGGATTATGCGGGTGCAACAGTTATGATGATCCGCGGTGCTGAAGTCCCAACCATGGCCTTCTGGCACGATTCAAGACCGTCAGGACGCAGCGGTCAGGTTGATCCGTGGCGTAGGCATCCCAAGAACAATGTTTTGGCATGCTTCTTGTCTTCCAAAGAGGCAGTCCCCCCATAGAAATGAACCCATTGTAGGGGCCTATGAAGAGGGAGCTTGGAGGGAGGGTTATTTCCAACATCGTTGATGACTCTTGGGTTTACAGATGGCCTCCCCCTCCCCCTCCTCCTCCTCCTCCTCCTCCTCCTCCTCCTCCTCCTCCTCCTTCTCCTCCTCCTCCTCCTCCTTCCCCTCCTCCCCCTCTTCCTCCTTCTCTCCTCCTTCCTCCTCCTCCTCCTCCTCCTCCTCCTCTCCCCCTCCTCCTCCTCCGTCTCCTCCTCCTTCCCCCTCCTCCCCCTCCCCCTCGTCCTCGGAGGTCCCTCCGCGCCCCTCCGCCCCTCTGTACCCCCTCCCGAGAGCCCGCCGCGAGCCCTGGGCCTGCCTGCACAGGCCCCGTACGCGTCTCCGCGCCTGCGGAGGGAGCGGGCCGCGGAGGCGGGGCCGCCGCCGCTCGCCCGAGGATCGAGAGCTTCGGGGATCGAGGATCGGGGGGATATCGAGGATCGAGGGCCCCGCGCCGTTCTGCTCCCGAGGGTCTCTGTCGTCGTCCTCCTCCTCCTCCTCCTCCTCCTCTCATCCTCCTCTCCTCCTCCTCCTCTCTCCTCCTCCTCCTCCTCCTCCTCCTCCTCCTCATCATCCTCCTCTCCTCCTCCTCCTCCTCCCTCCTCCTCCTCCTCCTCCTCCTCCTCCTCCTCCCCCTCCCCCTCGTCCTCCTCCTCGTCTTCTTCTTCGTCGTCGTCGTCGTCACCGTCGTCGTGCCCCCCTCATCCTCCTCTTTTGGCCCCCCAGGAGAGCAGACGGCACGCCGCGCGCGCTCGCCCGCCCGCGTTACCCGCGCGCCGCCAGCGCTTGCCGCCAGCGCGGCCGCCGCGCACGTTTGGCGGCCTCCCGCCTGGCGCCTGTTGTTCTCCTCCTTCTCCCCCTCCTCCCCCTCCTCCTCCTCCTCCTCCTCTCCTCCTCCTACTACTACTACTCCTACTCCTACTCCTACTCCTCCTCCTCTCCTCCTCCTCCTCCTCCTCCTCCTCCTCCTTCTCCTCCTCCTCCTCCTCCTCCTCCTCCTCCTCCTCCTCCTCCTCCTGGATACGCAGTTCCGAGTGTCCGATTGCGCATAACATGACGGTCTCTTTCTTGGAGTTCCAGGTCCGCTACGACACGCGTCCGCGGATAGCACAGTGTCAGCGCAATGGTCAGGGATGGGAAGGGTAAGACGTCAGATATGGCGCGAGCGCACCTTGCTCGCCCTTGTCCTTCCTTTCCGTTCTCCCTCTGCGTCCTCTCTATTTCTCCCTGCCCCCGCGTCGTGCCGAGCTGATGGGGCCAGGGGGGGTTGTGAAGGGGGCTCCCCGGTGGAGAAGCGCGGTACCCAGGACAGGAGGAGGAGGAGGAGGACGAGGAGGAGGAGGAGGAGGAGGAGGAGAAGAGGCGGTTTCCCGAATACGGTTTTCTGCCCTGCGTTTGATCATGAGCACGGGGTAGCCCCCCACCCCCCGACGGGGGTCAGCGTCAGCCGTCCGCGCCCGTGGGCCGGGGTCTGGTTTCGGCACGAACGAAATGGGTACGGAAAGAATGGGTCAATGCCCAACAGTGGTTCCTGTTCATTTTGAACAGGACTCGCTGTCGGTGTCGCCGCGGCCAGTGTACATTTGAGACAGAAGGCCGCCTGCCCAACAGCGGCCGCTGTTGGTTTGGGACAACATTTGTTGTTGGGCATTGTGCCATTTTTTTCCGTACCCATTTCGGGCGTCGAAATGGTTTTTGCGCGGGTGTTGACCTACGTACCCCTCGCCCTCGAGTCCCCTCCTCGCCCTCCAGTCCCTTCCTCGCCCTCCAGTCCCCTCCTCCTCCTCCACCTCCTCCTCCCCCTCCCCCTCCTCATCCTCCTCCGTCTCCTCTTCCCCCTCCTCCCCCTCCCCCTCCTCATCCTCCTCCGTCTCCTCTTCCTCCTCCTCCTCGTCCTCCTCCTCCTCCTCCTCCTCCTCCTCCTCCTCCTCCTCCTCCTCCTGGGTGGCGTGGGCCGACTGTTGCCGACGTAGCGCGGCAGTGTCTGGCCGCGACGAGAGTCGATCCGGTGCTGTCGGCAGGGGTGACGCCACCCCCCGCTTATTACCAAACGCAGAGCCGAGTTCCCTAATTTCAAGCAGCTTCTTCGGACAGCCTCAGGAAGTCTTTGGGAATTCTGTCGGACAGCCTTGCGAAATCATTCTGGGATCTTCCGGACATCCGCAATGCATCCTTAGGCAATGACGCCGTACACGAGGCATGTTTTCGAGACTCATCGTTCGGAGTCAGTGGAAGAGCGTTTGCAAAAGCGTTTCTGCAGGCGTTCGTTCCTGGGCAGCACGTTGTCGGAAGTGGACTTTGGTTCACGGAACAATCGATTCAAGTCGTTGTTTGACATGTTTGGCATAAAGCATAAGGAGTCAATGTGCAAGATTTTGGCTTGGGGACGATCCGTTTTTTTCTCTTGGGGAACCATCACGTCCGCCAGGAAACCAACCTCTCGCGGCCACGAGGGGGCGGGGGTGGGGAGAGAGAGGGAAGGCGACGGGGCAGGGTCGGGGATGGGGAGATCAGGGGCAACGCTGGGGGCGGAGAGGCTCGGGGGGGGATCGGGGGTTCGAGGTTCGGGATCGGGGGAGGATGACAGAAGGTTCGAGGTTCACGTTGTTCGGACGCTTTCGTTGGTTCTCGGAGTTTTTCCAGCCTCGGGATGCCGGCCAGCAGCTGCGCCTCACCGGGAGTGATCGGGGTGCCCTGATCATCCCGAACGGCTGCCCGAGGGCCGAGTTGTGACCCAAACGCCAGGGGCAATGTTGGGAGGGGATAGGCTCGAGGATGACATCGAGCGCCCATTGATCGCCAACGGGGTCGAGCCCACATCGGCCGATTCCAGGTCGATGTTCCTCCGCTGAGCTGAGCCCCCCCCCCTGATCGTCCCCCCCCACAGGCAAAGCAGAAGGTTGGTGCGTTGGCGCCATGTCTGACGTCATTCCCTTCCCACCCGTCCCTTGCCACAATGTAAAATTAATCAGTACCCGTCTATTCGGGTGTCCTAGGCGACATTGGTCCCAATATTGACCCCATCGTGTGTTGTGCAAAAACGAGCATGAGGAAGAAGAGGATAATGTAGGGGATGAGAAAGGATGCTATTGGAGGATCAGCAAAGGCAGGAGGACGGGGAGCAGCAGCAGCAACTGCAGAGATCGCAGGAGGACAAGGGGAAGCTGGAGGAGAGGACAGGAGGCAGCCGACAACGAGAAGGAAGGAATCATATCCAGAAGTGTGGCCTGCGCTGGGGCGAGAGCGCCGTTCATCGCCGTTCTGACCGACAGGAGCAAAGCGACGATATCGAAATGTGGCCAGCGCTGCAGCCAGAATATATGTTGCGAAGGGTCAAACAGAACCCGATCGAACAGAAGCATCTACCACATCGATTCGGGAAGTCCTGCGAGTGAGAATGAACACGCGAGAGAGGTGCCCCCCGCAGGGGACAGCATCAGGGGGGGGGAAGAGAGAGAGAGAGGAGAATAGCATTCAGAACGTATGCTGTGCAACTGTGAAAGGGGGCAGGGAAGTGGAGGCGGGGATGCCAGGGAAGGCGGAGGTGGGAGAGCATGGGGGTGCGATCGGGAGGGGGAATGATGGAAGACGGGGGGAGGGTAGCAGGAGTGGCTGGGGAGGGAACGCTTGGAAGCAGGGAGGGAGCGAGGGGGGAACATTCTCGCAGGCAAACGTGTGGTTTGCCTTCAAAACGTGTTCGCCTTCGGCGGGCAACACGCAACACATTCACCAACAAGCATGCCCTCAACAATATACAACAATCCCTCCAGAAAAGAGGGGAGTCGCCCAGTGGCAACCTGCGGCGTCGGCGAAGCCCCCCGTCCCGCCAGGGAGTCCTCCAGGACTATTCGGTGAACGCAGTCGTGTTGCATTTTTTGTATCAGTCTTCTTCTTCGACCTTTTCGTCCTCTGCTTCCCCATCCGACAGGTTGGGGCTGGTAGATCTCAAGACAAGGGCTCCCGACCCGCTACGCGCACCCTGCATGCCGTGGCCGCCAGGCCCACGGTGAGCCGGCGCTCCCTGGGTACCCCGCCTCGCGTCTTCGACGAGTGGCGACTGTGCACCGCGTGTGTCAGGCCCCAATCAAGCAGTGGCGAAGCGTCCTGGCTCGCCTATAGGCACACCAAAGAAAGTTCTAAGAACCTTTTGTGGTCTGCACGAAATGTACGAACATTTCTCTGGATGAGTCTTTCGTGTTTTAACACGTTGGGCTTATAGTATAAGAACCTGTGTTTTGTTCTTAGAACATCTTCGGGTTCTAAGAGAATTTCGTGGTAGGCCTATAGGAATGCGACGGTCGGTCCCTGTTCAAGCGTATGCCAGGCCCCAAGGATCCCGGTGCTCCTTTGGTATCGGCCTCGCGTTCTCGGGTGGGAACCGCTCGAACCAGCACAGTTGTTCGTATGTTTTGTGATTAGTGCTACTCTTCGTCTCCAGATGTTTGCTCGCGTCGTATTGCTATCATGTGTTCTTGTGTTAGCTCTCACGTTCCTTATGAATCGATTGAGCGTATTATTCAGATCACGTGTCGAATTCTTGCGACTAGTCTTATTATGTATCGTTTTCTGATGATGTTTAAGGGCTGATTTCGCAGTACCCCCATTCGTAACAGTACTTGCCAACTTCTTATACTCCTGAATCGTATTCTTAGTGTTGAATATGTACTCCTCCTCTTATGATTCCCTCTCGTCTTATTATTAATGTTACTACCAGAATGAGTAATCCCATTATTCTCGGTGTTTTGATTATTCTGCTTGTTCTACTTCTTCACCCCCCCCTGCGGGCGTCGCAGGCCGCGGCCGCGGCCTCCGAGCTGGCGGCCCCCGAGGCCGCCGCGGAGCAGCAGGCCGCGCAGCCGAGCGAGCCGGCGCCGCAGGAGAGGGCGGCCGCCGCCCCCTCGGGCTTCAGCAGGGCGCTCGGGTTCGAGTTCGGTTGGGTGCAGGTGCGGTCGGGTGCGACTTCGATCGGGTCTGGGCTCGGTCTGGGCGCCGAGAACGAGGGTCATGGTTAGGGCCTGTCCTCAACAAGTTTCCGAGCCTCGCTGGAGCTCCTGAGCTCGTTTCGTGCTTTTTATCCAGGGGGCAGGGAGCCGAAACAGGAAACGAATCCCGTTTCGGCTTCGGCCCGTTTCGGCTTCGGCCGTTCGTTTGGGCATCGGTCCGTTTCGTCCCCGCCCGTGTAGTTCCGGTCCGTTTGGTTTCGGCCCGTTTCGTCCCGGTCCGTTTCGGCTCTGGTCTTGGTCCGTTTCGGTTCTGGTCCGTTTCGTCTCGGCCCGTTTCGGCTCTGTCCCGTTGCGTCCTGGTTTCGACTCCGGCCCGTTTCGGCTTCGGCCCGTTTCAGGTCGCAGGTTCGCGCTCGCATCTGGGCCGTGAGGCCGAAACGGGCCGAAGCCGAAACGGGCGGGGCCGAACAGGCCGAAGCCCAAACGCGCTGACGCCGAACGGGCGGAGCCGAAACGGGCCGAGCCGAAACGCGCCGAAGCCGGAACGGGTTGAGGCCGAAATTGGCCGAAACCGAAGCGGGACCGAAGCCGAAACGGGCCCGAAGCCGAGTCGGGTCTTTGTTTGGGATCGTCTCGGGCGACCTGGGTCGTTCTCCGAAGGAGAGTGGGTGAGGAGGAGGAAGGGGCATCAAAGAAATGAGGGGCAATGTTAGGGTTACACGTCACTCTACAGGAGGAGTGTTCAAAAATGATAAAGTCATAGTCTGGGGACGATGTTTCGATTATGTTTTGACTATTCTTGAGAGCTTGTTGGATATGCTTCTGTCGTCCAAAACCCGCCTGTAGGGGGCCGTGCTCGACCTCATGGTAGGGGTGGCGGTGGCCCGGGGTGGGGCAGAGCGGGAGGCTCCGCCGAGTGCTCGCCTCGGGCCAGCGACGCCCGAGCCTCGTGATCAGCTCGGGGCGGCCCTTCTCGTCGGCTTTTCGTCGGGATCCCCCGTTGGACTCGGTGGACCTCTCCAGGAACCCAGAACCCCTCGAGCAGCACAAAAATCATGACGGGAGGTTTTTCGCCATTCTCGGCATCTCGGGGACTTCGCCGGGCCTCGGGACCGTCAGACAACGACTCAGAATGAAAATCCGGCCCTGGGGAAGGGGTCCAGATTTCTGGGGGTCGACGTCATGAAAAAAACATGACGTCGGGGGTCTGGGAAGGTTGCAGCGAGCATCCCTAGGCAGCCCGGAAGATCTTGGGTTCTGTGGAGGCATGCGGAGGGAGCGCTCACCTCCAGGAAAAAAAGGGATGTTATCGGCCTGGAAATGGGAAGCGATACGAATCCACATGCGGCGATACCACCATTCGGAACTACACCTCGTTGACTGTGATCCCGCTGATGCTCCTGGAGCCTGGCACGTGCAAGTTCCGGCCCAATGTAAGCAACATGTTCAAGCTCAGGGTAAAACGCGTGAGCGCCCTCCCCAATCTCTGTTCCCTGGGAGCCGTAATTATGTACCGATTGCAGTGTTTCCCAGAGTTGACCTAGTGGATATTCGGCTTGACTGTGTTTCGGCGCGTATTTGAAAGGAATGTGTAACTAGCGATCTCGCGACCAGCGTCCGATGCCGACATGGTAATCATTGCTTGCTCGGATGGCACGCCAGTGGCGGTGAGTAGATCCTCCATCAAATCAGTTGCCTGTTCGTTCTTCCATGTCCGTTTCGTGCGAATCCGTTGTCCTGCCATCTTCCTCAAGTGGTCGGCCGATATTCACCTCTGAGTGAGTGCGCATATTAGCATCTTCCTGCTACAGGCGAGTCGCCGCTCCATGTGCTCGCTGTTCCCCTCCCGCATAAAATTCCTCGGTGCGATCGTCCTCTTCCGTCCTTCTTGTATTTCGCCTCATTCCCATGCTCCCCTGCCCTGCTCGTCCTTGTTTGCCCACTCCCTCTTGTTACCCGTGCGCCGTGCGCCCGTCAGGAAGACGAGGAGAAGGAGGACAAGAAGAAGGGCGCCAAAGGCGCAGACAAGAAAAAGGACAAGGCCTCCCGCTGTGCGGCACGCCCTTCCTCCACGGATCCCCCCAGGAAGGGCACGTATTTAGGCCGGGGAGGAGGAAGAGGTGCCCCCCCTCGCCCCGCGCCCCTCTCGTGTCTGCGGCCCCTTGCTCCGAGAGGACCAGGAAGTACACGGCCCGGCGTTGCTTCACATGTTGTCTCCTTGGTTGCATCGGCCGCCGCTGGTGTCCCTCTTGTGCCGCTCCGCCCACTCATCACCTATGACCGGCTAGAGGCCTTGCGTGCTCGGGTGGCCGCTCGGGAGCAGGCCAGCGCAGATCGAAGCTTGATATCAGTTTAGTCGTGTGCTGGACCACGTCCACGCTCTGCCTCGAGGGCCCTCCCGGCAACCAAAAGACGGCACACGCACTTCCTGTCGGAGGTCAGCGCAGATATTTGAGGTGGGCGCTGGCCTCCCCTCCGCACAATCCGCGGCGGCCCGCCCGATCTCGGAGGCTCTCGATTTATCCTCGTCGGGTTGTATCCTTGTCCTGCCTGCCCTTTGTATGGATAGGCTCGGGGGGGCCTGGCGGCGCCTCCGGCGTCGCCCCTCGCGCGCTCCGTGCGCCTAGGAAGGGGCGCGGGCAGGAGGGCCAACGCCGACCCGGGAGAGCCGCGCGGACCTTCTGGGAATTCTGTTTGTGTGGCTTGCGTGCTTACCTTCTTGCCAGATTATAAAAAAGGGGGCGACAGTTTTGGGGGAGGCGAGCGTCAGGCATCGAAGAAGAACAAAAGCACCATAAACATAAACTTTTGGCGCTCCGCGCGGATTTCTTGGATCCGCGCTGGGGCCCCCTTGCGGCGCCTCCAGCGCGCCCCCTGGCGCGCTCCTCGCGCCAGGGAGGGGGATTCAGCGCAGATCCAAGAAATCTGCGCGGAGCGCCAAACGTGTATGTTTATGGGTTTCTTTTCTTCCTCAAAGGCAGCCCCATATATCAATTCCGATTTCTGTCACTCGCCCTCAACCCCGTGGCCTCCTCGTATGGACTCACTCACGCCCCTTGTGGCCACGGCTGGATTCGCCACGGGGCGCCTGATCAGAAGGCGCCCCGGGAGAGGCACGGAGAGTAGCGGTATCGGTACATTTTTGTTCCCCCGTGGCAGCCCTAGGATGCGAGTGAATCGCTCCAGTTTCAAGTCGTTCCGGGGCACTGTCAGGTCGCTCCTGGGCGCTCTAGAGCGGCTGCGGCGCCAGGTACACCCGACAAGGACGCACTCCAGGTTTTCACGTCTATTGGGCCATCCGCACGTGCCGGAGTTTGGCCGTGTCTTGTGGTTTGGGGGGCCCAAACGCTGCGGTGACCACACCGTGTGGCGAGTCAGCGGGGATTCGGGGTGACCGCGCGGTCTGTCACCGTACGGTTTCGGGCCTCCCTGCCTGCCCCTCGTGCCAGAGCGTGGGGGGTCGCGCCCAGGGCGCCGACAAGGCGAAGAGCAAGGACACCAAGGCCGCAAGGTCCCAGCGCCCGCGCCTGCCCCCCCCCCACGCCAAAAGGGTCACGAGGAGAGGGACAGCAGTGGATAGGGCACGCGCAGATCGGGATGATCGAAATGGATACGGAACGCACGTGTACGTAGTACCCCGCAGTTGCGAATAAGAGTGAGGGGGCGGCGAGGACGTCGGCAGTCTGCGAGGCTCTGAAGAAGCCCGCCGCAGGCGCCGAACCTTTACAAATTATGCAGTGGGCCCGCCGCAGGCGACGATGTGGGTGGGTGGATCGCGAGGTGGGTCGCGGGTGGGTCGCTGGGCGGGTCGCGAGGTGGGTCGCAGGGTGGGTCGCGGGGTGGGTCGCGGAGGGTCACGGGGTGGGTCGTGGGTGGGTCGCGGGGTGGGTCGCGGGGTGACTCGCGGGGGGGGCGACGCAACACAACACCAACAACAACACCACCAATAACAACACCAACAACAACACCACCAACAACAACAATCATTTTAAGGTTGTTCGCTCTTCTCTGCTCGAGTAACATGTATTTCCCAAACGCTCGATGCCCGCACTTTTCGTCTTCGATCGTGTCCTTTTTGCGGGGTAGATGTTTCTTCCCTGCATGCCGGGCCTCAGCAAGCGGCGGGACGGCCTCGGACCGTCGGCCTGGCCAGCGGCATCGCTGATCGGCTGCAGCCCGACCCCACGAGGGACGGACAGGGACCCGACCACGACGACGACGACGACGACGACGACGACGGCGACGGCGACGGCGACGGCGACGGCGACGGCGACGGCGACGGCGGCGGCGAAGACGACGACGACGACGAGCGAGAGCGACAGCGACAGCGACAGCGAAGCCACGAAAGGCAGGAAAGGGGCCACAAAGGGCGACAGCGGGGCCACGAAGGGCATGCGTATTGGGGGGCCACGAAGGGCGCGAACGAGCAGGGACCACGAAGGGCTGATAATGCGGGGCCACAGAGGACAATGACGGAGCCACTGAAGGTAGCAACGGGGCCACGTAGTGCAGCGATGGGGCCACGAAGGGCGACAGCGGAGCCACGAAGGGCATGCGTGCGGGGCAACAGCGGGCGCGAACGAGCGGGGCCAAGAAGGACATGCGCATATTGGGCCGCAGAGGGCACGGACAAGGACACTGAGGGCAGCAACGGGGCCACGAAGGGCAACGAGGGGCCGCGAAGGGCGAAAGCGGGGCCACGAAGCGCATACAGATGGGGCCACGACGGGCGCGGACGAGCGGTGGCCACGAGGGCACGCGTATACGGAACCACAAAAGGCAGCGAAGGGGCCACGCAGGGCTGCAACGGGGCCACGAAGGGCAGCGAGGGGGCCACAAAAGGGTCCAACGGGGCCACGAAAGGCGGAGAGGGGGCCACGAAGGGCTGCAACGGGGCGATGAAGGGCAGCGATGGGGGCCACGAAGGGCTGCAACGGGGCCACGAAGGGCAGCGATGGGGGCCACGAAGGGCAGCGAAGGGCCCACGACGGGCTGCAACGGGGCCACGAAAAGGCAGTGACGGGGCCACGAAGGGCAGCGAGGGGGCCACGAAGGGCTGCAACGAGTCCAAAAATGGCAGCGAAGGGGCCACGACGGGTTGCAACGGGGCCACGAAGGGCAGAGAGATTCCGATTCGTAAGTCAGCTGCGAGGGGGTCCTGAACGTGAGTGCGACTCCTCGGTGCCTGAGTGCCGGGAGCGCGGCGCTTGAGTAAACCGAAGGGGGATTCCAACTCAAGAGCACGATGCTTGAGTAAAGTGCAAGCAAGTATTCAGCGAGAGCGCGGCTCTAGAGCGCCGGGAGAGCGATTCTTGAATACATTGTACGGAAATCCCAAGCGAGCGCGCGACTCCTACGTAAAACGCGGGGAAGTCGCAGGCGGATGGGGGGTCCTGGCTAAATTGTTAGGGAGCCTCAAGCGGGAGCCGTTGCTGTTGTAATCCGAGGGCCAACAACACAGTTTGACCCGAGTGACCTTCCCTGATGAAAACAAGATGCGGACCCCGGAGGAAACACATCAATTGAAAACACACAATGGTCACCGGAAGTGGGGGGCAACAGTAGTTATTATTCAGCCGTGAGAGTTCAACAACAACAAAAGCAACAATAACATCAACAACCACACCAACAACCGCAACAACAACAACAACAACAACAACAACAGCAACAACAGCAACAACAACAGCACACACACACAACAACAACCGACAAACAGCAACAGTCAACAACACCAAGCGACAACAACAATAGCAACAGCCACAGCAACACCGACACCAACAACAATAACAGCAACAGCACCCGCAACGACAGCAACAACGAACAACACAACAACAAGATCAACCACATCAATAGCAACAACACCAACCACAACCACAATCACAACCGCAACCACAACCACGACAACGACAACAACAACAACACCACCACCAACAACAACAACAACAGCAACACCAGCAACAACAACAACAACAATAACAATAACATCAACAACACCAACAACAACAGCAATACACCTTATTATGGAATCCCACTTCAGCCACGCACCCAGGGACAGTGAATGACCGTTCGGCCCCCTCACTCGGACAACGGCCGACAGCAGTTCCTTCCCATTTCGCGCAGGGTTCGCTGTCTGTTCGCACCGCGGACGTTATCCGTTTAAGTCAGAAGGCCGCCTGCCCAACGGCGGCCGCTGTCAGTGTTGGGCAAGATTTGTTGTTGGGCATTGCGCCCATTTTTTCGTACCCACTTCAGGCGTTCAAAGCAGAGGGGGGAAGGTGGAAGGGGGGAAGGCTTCTTAGAGGGAGGCTGCTTCTCGAAAGGCGCGGGCCTTGTCTGTCGGTGAAAGGCCTTTGCCTCCTGAGAAGCAGCCTCCTTCTAAGAAGCCTTCCCCCCTCCCCCTGCCCCCCTCTGCGCGCCGCCGCATGGAGTGGAGCGGGAGCGGGGGCGGCGCAGGGGTGTCGGACGAAAGGGGGGCGGGGGAGATGGGGGCAGGTTGCCCGACTGACGCATATCCTTGCCCCTGTGGTTGGAATCGGATCTCGATCTCAGGGGTTCCCTTGGTTTCTGAGGGTGCATCCCTGAGATCGTCACCGCCGTTGGGCTGGTCCATCTCTGCATGCAGCTGGTTTCGGCCTCGCCGCCAGTCGCCTCTCCTCGATACGCCGGCGTCCCACGGCGCCGGGAAGACCAGCGGCGTGAGCCGAGTCGCCCCCCCCCTGGTGTTTAGGGGTGCACATGTGAACCCTACCCCTCCCCCTCAGAAATCGTGGGGGGGTAGGGGTAGGGTTCGCATCTGGCCCCCTCGTGTTGTCACCCCCCCGTTTTCGTCCGACGGAGCCGCTCCGGCCCTCCACCATCGCAGGTGCCCTGGGGCCGCTCTCCGGCCTCGGATGCCCGTTGTGGAGGGCCTACGGGTCTGGTCGGCTTTGGTTCGGCTCGAGGTTGGTTCAAGTTCGCCTCACTCGGGGGCGGCCAAGAGGGGAGCGATGACAACGGGGGTGTGGGTGTCATGACGGGGGGGCATGATATCTCCCCAGATGTCATGGGGCCTCTTCTTATTTCGTGACGTCTCTGGCTCCTCCCCTGTCCCACGCGCATGCCGCCAGCCATGACTCGTGCCCCCCCCACTCTTGGACGCCCCCTTCTTGGCCGCTCCCGACGCTGGTTCGACTCAAGTTCGGTTCAAGGTTGCCTGAAATTGACGGACGTTCGGCGCAGAATCGCCGCATGAGGCTCCAGGAAGGTCCCCAGAAGGAGCATCCAGCAGTCCCCGCAACCGTCCACCAACAGCTTGGTCGGGATACGCGCAGGAGCCCTGGCCGAAGCGATCGAGAGCTTCGGGGCGACGGCCCTCGCAAGAACCGAGCTCGACGGAGGCCTAGGAGTCGGTGCCCGACGCGCGAGCGGACGAGTGGGCCCGTACCAAGGGCAACGTTTGGGAGGGGGGGGGGGGGATACGCTCAGGGTGGATGCGTCGACCCCCAATCGCCCAATCATCGCCGACAGAGACCCGATAGCCCACCCCGCCCAGGAGCGTGCGGATTTCCCGATGGGGGCCCATCGCCGATCCATCGGCGATGCATACCGCCGATTCCAGCTCGCCGTGTCTCGCCCTGAGCTGGCCAACATTCCTCCGCAGTAGCCAAAAGTTTTGGCGCCTCGATCTCGAGGCAGTATGTTGCCAGTCTTGAATATCGTACCTCGGGATTCCCGCAAGGTCGGTCTGGATCAATCCCAGCTCTGGGGAAAGGGTCGAGGGTTCCGGGAGCCCACGCATCTGAAATTTTGGAGTTTGGGTGTCTGGGAGGATCGATGATGGATGATCCATACGATGCTTGGATGTTGTCCCTCACCGTCGCCGCTTGGGCTCCAGGCTGCGGGAGGGGGTCGAGGTTCCCCAGGGCTTCAGTAGCAAGTCACGGGAGGTAATTATGTCCTCTCCAATTCGTCTTGAGAGTGCACCAGCGTGCGACAGCGTTTGGCAGTCGATGAGAGCGCGCCGATGTAACGTCAATTTACCGTCGATCAGCGTCGACTAGCGTCGTCAGCAACATGGCATGGGTCAAGCAGTCGCGAAGCATCCTGGCTGTCCTGGCTTGCCGATCGGCCCACCAACGAGTGTTCTAAGAACCTTACGTAGTTTGCACGAAGCTCTTCTAACATTTCTGGCTGAGACTGTCTTCTTTCAACACGTCGGGCTCAGGTTCTGAGAGCATTGTTCTTGCTGTCGGAACATTTGCTGGTTCGAAGAACATGTCTGTGGTAGGCCTGTGGGCCTACAGGACTGCCAGGACGGTCGGTCCCCGCTCAAAGGGGAGGCTCCCCTGAGTTGCCACCGAGCAGGGCGCCGCCGCGCCGCTGCGGCCGCCCGCTCGGGCATGCGGCCGGGGCGCAGGGCGGCCCTGCTAGCGGCGCTGGGCGCTGCGATCGCCGCCGTCTCGCTGTGGCCCGTGCTCTGGCCGCACGCGGCGCGGGGGCCCGCGCCGCCGCCCCACGCCGAGGGCTGGCACTTCGCGTATCGTTTCACCCGATGCCTATCCCTAGGCATCGCTCGGACGTGTGCATCTCTTCTCGGCGAGGGCCATCGAGGAGCAGCCCGGATCATCGAGCGGACAACCAGCACGCGCGAAACCGACAAATGCACGGGGAATGGACGTCCGAGCGATGGCGAGCATCCCCATCCCCATCTCCATCCCGATCCCCCCCTCACACCACTCCAGTTGTCAGAGAGGGAGACAAGGTACCGATACTGCTATCCTTCCATCGTTTCCCCCTTTCGGCCTCCTGGGAGGCCCTCGTCGCCACTGCTGGATTCGCCTCGAACTCCTGGTCAGAGCGCAACCCGGGGAGAGGTCCGGGGAGAAGCGGCATCAGTATTTCTTGGTTTCTCCAAGTTGGGGGTATGCCCCTCGAAACCCGCATGGAACAGCCGACATCCCCACCCAGGTGGGTAACTCAGCCAGTGGGGCCCAGGCCACGCCAGTGGGGGTGGGGATCGGCGAAACGAAGCTCAGGCACGGGCCACTGCGGCCGCCGCCCCGCCCGGCGGACAGCTCGATGAGGGGCGCCGGAGGCGCGCCGGGCTGCAGCTGCGAGGGGCAGACGACCATAGGTGATTTTCGGAAAGGGTGCACCTGGAAGGAGAAAAACTCCGCAAACATAAGCTTGTGGCGCTCCCCGTGATTTCTTGGACGGCGCCTCCGGCGCCGCCCTTGGCGCGTTCCGCGCGCCAGGGAGGGGGGTCCAGCGCAGATACCAGAAATCCGCACTGAGCGCCAACAATTTATGTTTATGGCATGTTTTCTTCTTCGAATGCTACGATGTGTACCTATACCTTTGCCCTCGCCTCGTCTTGGCCTTCTTAGAGGGGGCCTCCTCCTGGGGTAGGCCCTCGTGGCCACGTCTGGATGCTCCTCGAGGCTAACTGTGGTCGGAGCGCACCTTGCAGGAGAGGTCCAGGGAGCAGCGGGACTTTTTAGGGCTCGTTTCGATTCTTCCGATTCGATTCGATTCGAGTTCGATGGTTTCCGATTCCGATTCGATTCGGCTTCGAAATCCGATCTGGATTCCGATTTCTCCATAGGGGCCTACTGACTTGCCGAATTCCGCCGATTCGACTTCTCCCGACGTGGCTGCCGAATTCCGCCGATTCGATTCACTTCGATCGCCGATCCGACTTCTCGATTAGATCCTGGGCTCTTCTGTCTTATTGGCTTCGCCAGGTGATCAAGCGCCGCCGTCGTGGTCTGCGGCGGCGGTGGTGGTGACCAGCGCCGCCGCCGCCGAGGGCGCGGGCACGGCCACCGGGGAGCCGGGGGACGGAGCGGAAACCACGACTGCGGTCGGCTGCTCTTGCGACACGCCGACGCCCTCGGCACCCCCGATGCTGTCGCCCACTCCATCGCCCAATCCGTCGCCAACACCTTCGCCACCCCCGTCGCCCACACCGTTACCCACGCCATCGCCAATTCCGTCGCCAACGCATTCGCCCACCAGGTCGCCCACGCCATCGGCCACGCCATCGCCCACGCCATCGCCAACGCCGCCGCCCACCCCGCCGCCCACCCCGTCGCCCACCGTGTCGCCCACCACGTCGCCCACGCTCGTGGGAACGACTACCGGGAAGCCGGGGGCTGGCACTTCGCCTACGCCATCACCCACGCCATCGCCCCCGACCGTGTCTGGCTCCCTGACCGTGTCTGGCATTGACTACACATCCCTCGTTAACGACCCGGCTATTCTTGCGGATTTCGAGGACGCCGTGAAGCAGGGGATCGCCCAGGAAGCTGGAAGCGGTGTCAATGCCAACGACGTTGACTTGACGCTCTCCGAGGGCAGCGTGATCGTAGATTTCATCGTGCGGGTTCTGAGCGATGCAGGCAGAGATGTCGTGGCCTCGACGCTGGCCAGCAGCACCCTGGCCGACACAGTGGTGAGCCTGCTCACGGAGAACGGGGTTGCCGCCGTCGCCTCTGCAGGCAACATCACCGCTGTACTCACTGGAATCAACGGTGCGGCCGTGGTGCAGGCGACATCAACGCTGTCTTCACAAGCCCCAGTCGGGCCTGGTGCTGCGCCTCCGGAGGCAGCCTCGTCGGGCGGCATCTCTGACGGCCTGATCGCTGTCCTCGTGGTGTGTGGAGTGTTGTGCCTCTGCGGAGGTGTCGTGTCGGCCGTGGCCCTGGCTCATCGGTCGGGCTACGCGGAGGTCAAGTGCCTCTCGGCCCTGCACCACCGCTATCGCCACTTCTGCCGCGAGCGGAAGGTGGCCAGCAGCGCTACCCGCCAGCAGACGGTGGCCAGCAGCGTTACCCTTCAGAGGAAGCGCCCGCAGAGGCCGCAGAGCCCCAGGGCAGCCAAGTCCGCTGGACCAGGACAAGGCCCTGGCGGAGAAATGCAGCTGACGGAGAGCTTCGACGGAGAAGCGCAGTCCGGCAGCACCAAGGGCGCCGTCTCCTTCCTCGAGGCTCGCGCGGAGCCGGCCCAGTCGGCAAACGAGGTGGACTCTGGGAGCGACGGCACTGGCGCCCTCCGCAGAGGCTCCCTCCGCGCAGGCCGCCTCCCCAGCCCCCCCCGCGCCGTCAGCGACGCCGACAGCATCCTTCTGGAGGTCGGCTCCAGCAGCAGCCCGGCCCGCCGAGGAGGCGGCTCTCCCGACGCCATGCGCGCGCTGCCGCTCGGCTCCCAAAGGAGCTCGCCGTGGGCAGGCAGCACCGCCAGTGATGCCCTGCTCGAGGCCGGCTCCAGCGGCAGCCGAGGCGGGCGCCTCGGCGGCTCTCCCGGCGCTTGGCGGGCCACGCCGCACGGCTCGCAGACGCGCTCGCCCCGCGCGGGCAGCAGCGCCGGTGCTCGGAGGGCGCCAAGTACACATCTAGTTTTACGTCGGGCCTGTCCCTCTACAGGACGAAGAGTCAAAAATAGTCGAGAAATAGTCTGGGGACGATTTGTCGAATATTTTTTTGTTATTTGTTTACTATTTTCATTTGTCCTCCAAAATCCGCCTGCTAGGGGGACACACACGACCTAAATCAACACACACACACACACACACACACACCGAGCCTGGCCAGGTCGATCTTGGGCTCACAGTTCATCTAGGCCTTCACACACCAATCCTGATATCGGCCTCCGCAAACACACACACACACACACTCTCCCCGATCCTGGGCAGGTCGATCCGGAGCCCAGGATTGACCGGGGCCTCCACACACACACATTCCCCGATCCTGGCCAGGTGGATCCTGGGCCCAGGGTTGGTCTTGGCCTCCCGCTCCGCGCCGATGGCGCCGATGCGTTGCCAACGTCGCCGATGTATCGGCGATGCGTCGGCGATGCGTCGGCACTGCGGCGGGACCATCGGACACCATCTGGGAGGCCTCGAATTGATGTTTGGTGTGTACGCCTTCCTGGCCGAGGCAGGAGGGCGTGTACGCCGATGCTGGGCACAGGGTGGGGCCTGGCCAAGATCGGGTAGGAGCACAGTTTTGCGCCCTCCGATGAATAAACGCCATGAACACAAACTTTTGGCGATCCGCGCGGATGTCTTGGTGCTGCGTTGGGGCCCCCTTGGCGGCGCCTCCAGCGCCGCCCCTCGCGCGCTCCGCGCGCCAGGGAGGTGGGTCCAGCGCAGATCCAAGCAATCCGCACAGAGCCCCAAAAGTTTATGTTTATGCCGTTTTTGTGTTTTCCTTCCAGTCCTCCCAGGCGATGCCATGGTCGAGGTCGGCCTCGGCGGCGGCCTGGCCCGCCGTGGCGGCTCTGCCGGCCCTTGGCAGACCCCGCCGCTCGGCACGCAGCCGCGCTCGCCCCGTGCGGGCCTCCACGGCGGTGCCCTGGCGGTGGAGGGCGGGCCGATGCAGCAAGGATTGCTCGGGCGAGGACGCGGCGCAGGACATCACGAAGGGCTAGCGCAAGGGGGCGAGGCATCGAGCAGTGGCCTGTCGGGAGCTGCCTCCCGCGGTGCCCTCGACCTCGAGGCGCGCCTGGGCGAGGGGGTCGAGCGGGCCGAGGATCTTGTGGAGCGCACCAGGATGCTGCAGGAGCACTTCGAGGAGGCTCATGCCAGCATGGCCTCGATCAACGAGCTGTGCGAGGAGGCGGACGCGTTCATCCTGAGGAGCCAGATCAATCAGAACAGGAGCGCCAAGAGGCTCCACGACCTGACCATGAGAGCGAGCAGTCGCAGTCTCGGGCAAGATGCTGATCACGTCGTGGACGAGTTCGGCGGGGCACGCACCCGCAGGCGACGCACGAGCTGGCATCATGCTCACCATGCCGGGGACGAGCTCAGCGAGCTCGACGCGGAGCCCGCACGCAGGAGGCGCGGGAGCCCGTGCAGCCTCGGGCACGATGGCGGGCGTGCCGTGGGCGAGCTGAGCGAGATCGTCGAGGCGCCCCGACGGCGCGAGAGCAGTCCCAGTCCTAGGCGCTCAGGGGCAACGTTTGGGGGGGATAGGCGTAAGTCGGGCGTGTCCCTCTACGGGAGGACTACGCAACAATGCTTAGAAATAGCCAGAAGATGATGTTTTAACTAGTATTTGAGTATCTGTTATTTTTCGCCCGAAACCGCCTGTGGGGGGACATGTCCGACCTAAGGATACTTTGAGTTTCTTAATAAGCGTCGGGGGGGCGTCACCCCCCCGCCGAGAGCCCCACAGCGACCCCCCGTCGCGGGCATCCACCGCGCACCGAAGGCGCTCCGACCCCCGTCGCGGCGCGACGACGAGGCGAGGTTGGCACCCGTCGGGGGAGTACCCCACCCACACGCTTTTTAAGAAACCCAGGGGATATACGAGCATCGTACATGATGCCACTTGTAGACTCGCCGGGACCTCCACCTGGGGGTGATCCAGAGCAGACCTCCATTTGGGGGGGTAATCCAGAGCAGACCTCCCTTTGCAGACTCCGCGAGACCTCTATGTGGGGGGTGCCCCCCCGCGCGGATCCGGAAGCCCCGAGTGGGCTCGGGGGGGTTCTACATCGGCCCCCATGGGCCCCGGCAGCCTTGTTTCAGCGCCGGTAGGGGGGCCCGACTGCCCGCCCCCCGCCCATGGGCTTCGGGCGGCTCCGCTGCCGGGGGCCCTGCCGCCGACCTGTCCGCGAGAGGGCCCTCGATCCCAAGCGTTCGAGTAGGAGATCGACTAGTGACCGTTCTCTTACTCATTGTTTTGCCGATCGGCGCGGGCCCTCGCCCTCCCCCCCTCCCCCGTGGAGTAGCTCTTGGCTGTTTTTGGCGGCTGTTTCGAGCAGGTGGGGAGTTCCCCCCAGAGGACGCACGGTTCCAAACAGCCGCATTGGGCAGAGGTCCAGAGCCAGACCACTCTTGTCCCTCCCTCCCGCCCAATAAAAACGCCGAATAAGCAAACAGTCACCTAAAGAACTGATGTACTCAAACATTGAACACTTCGTCGGACACATAATATATGTATATTATATATAATATGAATGAATACCCCCCCGGCCCCGGGTGCCACACCTGCCCGTGACATCTCGGGAACGCTCCCGGTACCGGTTCTTCGGGCGTTCCCCGGAGCCTCCACAGCGCTCCAGGAGGGCCCAAGACGACTCCAAGGAGCCCCCAGAATGCGAAAGGATGGTCCAAGACGCTCCCAAGCAGCCCAAGTCAGCCTTCCGACGGCTCTCGATGCTCCCAGGTGACCTCCAAGAGACCCCAAGAGACGTCCGAGAGGCGTCCCGGGACGGCCCGAAGACGCCAACGTCGTAGAGTTTCATTGTGTTTTCCATGTTTTCGGCTTCTCGCGTTTTCGAGCTTCCAACGGTCCAAGAGCGCCGAAGAGGCTCCCAAGACCTCCCCAAGACCACCCAAGAGACCCTTGGGACGGCCCCAAGACAGGCCAAGAAGGCTCCAAGACTGCCGAAGAGGCGCCCAGGACAGCCCCATACCACCCAGAACATGCCAACATGCCCAAGATGGGCCCAGGAGCGGGAGCAGGAGGCTTCCAGAGACCTCCGAGAGGCCTCCGGGACCACCCAGAGGCCCCCAGCACACCCCTGATCCCTGGGAGGCCCCCAAAAGACCCCGACGAGGCTCCAAGAACAGCCCAAGAGAGCAGCGAGAGTCGTACCGAGAGAGCCCAAAGAGGGTAACATCGTTGATTTCCAATGGTTTTTCTAATGTTTTTCGCCTTCTCTTGTTTTCTCGCTCCCAACCCTTGAAGATCGAGGATTATCCCGGCAAAGCAACCTAAAAGCGATGCGTAGAAGCATATTTGAAAGCATTCCCCTTAAGATTCATATGAAATTCCAGTTGTAGAATTCTGCTGTTCTCGCAGTCGTAGTCGCATTCGCGATGACAGTCGCAGCGGCAACGGCAGTCGCAGTCACAGCCTCAACCTCAGCCTGCCTCAGCCTCAGCCTCAGCCTGCCTCAGCCTCAGCCTGCCTCAGCCTCAGCCTCAGCCTGCTTCAGCCTCAGCCTCAGTCTGCCTTCAGCCTCGGCCTCCCTCAGCCTGCCTCAGCCTCAGCCTGCATCAGCCTCAGCCTCAGCCTCAGACTGCCTCAGCATCAGCCTGCCTCAGCCTCAGCCTCAGCCTGCCTCAGCCTCAGCCTCAGTCTGCTTCAGCCTCAGCCTCAGTCTGCCTTCAGCCTCGGCCTCAGCCTCAGCCTGCCTCAGCCTCAGCCTGCCTCGGCCGCAGCATCAGCCTGCCTCAGCATTCAAAATGTGGCCCAGGAAGCGGAGTTCTGGGAACTAGAAGAACACGAAGTGGCCTACAGTTGGCTCCGGGCATTCAAAATGTGGCCCGGGAATGGAGTTCTGGGAACTCGAAGAGCACGAAGTGGCCTACAGTTGGCTCCGGGCATCCAAAATGTGGCCCGGGAATGGAGTTCTGGGAAGTCGAAGAGCACGAAGTGGCCTACAGTTGGCTCCGGGCATCAGAATGTGGCGGGAATGGAGTTCCGAGCACGAATGGAGTTCTGGGAGAATGTCGGGAATGGAAGAGCACGAAGTGTGTGACTGTTTGTGAAAAACGAGTGCGGCGGCAGCCGCGGCGGCAGCCTGTCCGGGTCCCGCCCCGACCCCCCTGAGGAGTCATGATGCTCTCTTTTGAGACCACTAGAAACCTATCAGCAAAAGCTGTTAGGTAATTTTGAAAAAAAGGAATTCCCAGAATTCCTACATTTATTTGTTCAAGGTGGGACTCCTTCTAGGTCCTACACATCCCCTGACATCTGGCCGGTAGCGCGCCTCCCGGCTTCCCGGGGGGAGACCGAGACGCCGAAGGACAGCCCATGATAACCTAAGGAGCCCCCAGAACGAAAGAGCGGCCCAACACGCTCCCGCGCAGCCTGAGACACCCTTCCGACGGCTCTCCAGGCCTCCAGGAGGGCTCCAGACGGCCCCAAGAGAGTCCGGAAAATCCCAGACCCCTGAGGGGCCCGGCTAACAAAACCCGAGGCACAAACCAAAAACAGCGCCGAACAGCGACGAGGAGTTAGAAAAAATGGGAATCCGACAATTTGTTTTTTCTTCAAGTTTGGCCCCCGGTCTGCTCTTGCCTAATGGATCCTTCTTGGGGTCTCGTTGGAGGGCTCTCGGGGACCTCTGAAGGCCATTTGTGAAGCCTCCTGGGCGTCTCTTGGGGCCTCTCTGAGGTGGTGGCGGTGGTGGGCTGTGCTGCTGGTGCTGGTGCTGGTGCTTGTGGCGGTTGTAGTGGTGGTGGTGATGTGGTGGTTGGTGGTGGTGGTAGTGGTAGTTGTGGTGGTTGTGGTAGCAGGTTGAGGTGGCAGGTTGAGGTGGTGGTCGTGGTGGTAGTCGTGGTGGTGGTGGTGCGGTGGTTTCTGGTGGTGGTGGTAGTTGTGGTGGTGGTGGTTTAGGTGTTGTTGGTGGTGGCGTTGGTGGTGCAGTGGTTTATCGTGGTGGTTGTGGTGGTGGTAGTGGTGGTAGTGGTGGTGGTGGGTTGTGGTGGTGGCGGTGGCGGTGGTGGTGGTTGCGGTAGTTTCGGTGGTGGTTTGGTGTGGAGGTGGTGGTTGTGGTGATGGGTGGTGCTGGTGGGTGTTGTGGTGGTCGGTGGTGGTGGTGTTGGTGTGGTGGTTTGTGGTGGGTTGTGGTGGTGGTTGTGGTGGCAGTAGTACTGGTGGTTGTGGTGGTGGTGGTGCGGTGGTTTGTTGTCGTGGTGGTAGTGGCGGCGGTGGTGGTGGTGGCGGTGGTGGTGGTTTTGTGGTGGTGTGGTGGTGGTTTGTGGTGGTGGTGGTGGGTTGTTGTGGTGATGGTGGTGGCGATGGTGGTGGTGGTTGTGGTGTGGTGGTTTGTGGCGGTGGTGGTGGTGGTGGTGGTGGTGGCGGTGGTGGTGGTGGGGTTGTGGTTTGTGGTGGTGGTGGCGGTGGTGGTGGTGGGGTGGTGGTTTGTGTTGGTGGTGGTGGTGGTGTTGGTGGTGGTGGTGGTGGTGGGTTGTGCTGCTGGTAGTGGTGGTGGTGGCGGTGGTGGTGATGGTGGTGGTTGTGTGGTAGATTGTAGTGGTGGTGGTTGTGCTGTTGTGGTGGTGGTGGTGAGTTGTTGTGATGGTGGTGGCGGCTGTGGTGGTGGTGGTTGTGTGGTGGTTTGGTGGTGGTTTGGTGGTGGTGGTGATGGGTTGAGGTGGCGGTGGTGGTGGTATTGGTGATGGCGGTGGTGGTGGTATTGGTGATGGCGGTGGTGGTGTTGGTGTGGTGTTTTTTGGTGGTGGTGGTTGTGTTGCGCTGTGATGTTGTTGTTGGTGGTGGTGATGCTGGTGCTGGTAGCAGTGCTGGTGGGTGGTGGGTGGTGGTGGTTGTTGTCGTGGTGGTTGTGGTGGTGTTGATGTGGTGTTTTGTGGTGGTGGTGGTGGTGGTGGTGGGTTGTGGTGATGGTTGTGGTGGTGGCGGTGGTGGTGATGGTGCTGATACTGGTGTGGAGGTTTGTGGCGGTGGTGGTGGTGGTTGTGGTGGGTTCTGGTGGGCTGTGGTGGTGCTGGTGGCGGTGGCGTTTTTGGTGTTGGTGGTGTAGTGGTTTGTGGTGATGTTGGTGGCTGTGGTGGTGGTGGGTTCTGGTGGTTGTAGTGGTGGTGGCTTTGGGTCAGAGTTTCGAGTGGATGCCTTCTGAGGTCTCGTCAGAAGGGTCTCGGGGGCGTCTGAGGAGCATGTGTGGAGCCTTGTGGACCTTCCTAAGGGCCTCTCCGAGAGGCCCTTAGGAACGTCGGGGTGGGTGCCGGGATGGGGGTGCCAGGAGGGGGTGCCGGTGGGGGTGCCAGGAGGGGGTGCCCGGGGAGGGTGCCGGGGGGGGCCCGGGTTGCCGGGTGGGGATGCCGGGGGGCGGTGCCGGGGGAATGTCGTCTTGCTCTGCCTTCCTGCCCTCCTCCTCCTCCTCCTCCTCCTCCTCCTCTCTCCTCCTCCTCTTCGTCCTGTCCTCCTCCTCCTCCTCCCCGTCCTCCTCATCCTCATCCTCATTATCCTCCTCCTTCCTCCTCCTCCTCCTCTCCCTGCTCCCTGCCTTCCTCTTCCTCCCTCCTCCTCCTGCCCTGCTCCTCACTGCCCTCCTCCTCCTCCTCCTCCTCCTCCTTCACGTCCTCCTCCTCCTCCTCCTCCTCCTCCTCCTCCTCCTCCTCCACGTCGCCAAATTCAAGGCCCCAGAGACGTCCGATTCGGTGCGGTTCCGTCAGGTTCGGCCCGGTTCGGTTCGAAATCGAATCCGGTTCGGTTCGGTTCGGTTCGAAATTGGGTCTCGTTCGGTTTTGGTTCGGTTCGGTTTTTGTTGACAAAACGCGCGGTTCGTACCGGTTCGGTTCGGCCCGGTTCGGTTCGGACGGTTCGGTTCGGTTTTTGAGCTTTCCTGCTCTCAGTGGCTTCTGGCGAGCGAGGGCTCGATATGACGATTTGTGTGTTCCCTCTGCGACCTCTGGGCCCTCTCATCGTCGCTGCGTACCCGCCGTCGGCGCTGCTGGCCGCCGCCAGCGCTGGCGCCGGCGCCAGCGCGGGGGGTGGACTTTGGACCCCCCCTCCCCCTCCCCTGGGCTCCCTCTGATCATCGTCGCTGCGTCCCCGCCGTCGGCGCTGCTGGCGGCCGCCGGCGCCGGCGCCAGGGGGTAGGGGGGGTTTTGACCTCCTCCCCCCCCTGGGAGGAGTGGGGGGGAGAGGTTTCGGGAGGGGGGGTAGGGGAGTCCCCCTTGTTCTGATCAACGGCGCCGAGTGTTGGGTGGGGGGGGCCACCCCCTGGTTCGAAACGCGCCACCGATTGTTCCCAAGGTATACGAGCATTGTACACGATGCCACTTGTAGGCTCGACGAGACCTCCATGTGGGGGTCATCAGTTCTGTGGTCGACCTCCTGCTCGAACGTTCCCCCCTCGCAGGCCCGATGCGCACCGCGCCGTGGACGAGACCGGCGAGCCGCCCCCCCGCCAGCGGCGCCGGGCCCCGCCCAGGCGGCGGTCCCGCGAGAGGCGGCTGGTGTGACCCGAGGGCGCGTCGGAGGTGTTATCCGCCGCCTTGGCTGCCGCACGCCGCGCGCACGCAGCCTTCGGGCCACGGAGGGGCCTCGTGCCGAGAGCGAGGGAGCAGCACGTGGCCGGAGGTGCCGCGAGCGGCACTTGGTGTGATTTCGACTCGACGTCAAGAGTGACCTTTCGCCAGAGTTGCCATTCGTGCGGGCCCAGGGGGGCCCCCCAGTCGCCGAGAGTCGCCGAACGCGTGGCGACAGCACCAGATTGCGCGCCTGGATTTGGACCCTGGCGGCCCCCGAAAAGCTGCGCACCAAGGGTAACTCTTGCCCAGTGTCGTTCTTATCGGCGGCGAGCGAGAGGGGGAAATGAAAAGGAGAAGGCCTTCTCAGGAGGTTCGGAAGTCCACTGGCCTTCTGAAAAGGTTGCTGAGCCTTCCCCGGTGACCCACAAAACCTTCTCGGAGGGCGCGAGGGTTTCTGAGAAGTCCCGCCGCCCTCTGAAAAAAGGCCTCCTCCTTCTCACTTCCCCCCTCGCTCGCCGCCGATTTTACATGCAGCCGATGACTGGGCGGTGCAGCGCGGGCGGGCTGGCGGGCGGGCGGCGCGTCGGAGCCGCCACCCGCAGCCACCCGCCGCCTCGGCCGCGGCACGGCTCGCGCCCGCAGCGTCGCGGGCCAGGGAAGTGCCTCCCATACCGAGGGCGACGCAGCAGCACGTGGAGGTCACTCCTCCGCCCCCTCCTCCTCCTACTCCTCCTCTTCCTCCTCCTCCTCCCTTTCCTCCTCCGCCTCCTCCTCCTCCTCCTCCGCCCCCCTCCTCCCCCTCCTCCTTCTCCTCCTCTTGCTCCCTCCTCCTCCTCTTCCTCCTCCTCCTCCCCCTCCTCCTCCTCCTCCTCCTCCTCCTCCTCCTCCACCTCCTCCACCTCCGCCCCCATCTCCACCTCCTTCTCCGCCCCCTCCTCCTCTTCCTGTTCCTCCTCCTCCTCCTCCTCCTCCTCCTCCACCTCCTCCTCCTTGCTGTGAGCACTGGCACCACGGGCAGTGCGGCTGACATTGGCTGAGAGCATTGGCAGCATGTGCCATGGGGCGAGAAGCACGGCGAGGGCGTAGGCCGAGTTCCGAAGAAAGACAACAAATAGAAACAGAAACTGTTGGCGCTCCGCGCGGTTTTCTTGGATCCGCGCTGGAGCTTCCCCGTCGGCGCCTCCGGGGCCGCTCCTGGCGCGCTCCGCGCGCCAGGGAGGGGGGTCCAGCGCGGATCCAAGAAATCCGCGCAGAGCGCCAAAAGTTTATGTCTATGCAGTTTGTTCTTCTATGACACTTGCCAGAAGCATAGGCAGCATGTGCCATGGGGCCCGAAGCACGGCGAGAGCGAGGGCCGAGGTGAGGACCTTTGGGGTTAGAAAGTGACTCGGGGAAGCGTCCGCTCGTCTTGTACTGATGGTATATGCGGGACGAGCGAAATGGGTACGTTAGGAACGGGTACAATGTCCAACAACATTTCCTGTTCATTCTGAACAAGACTCGCTGTTCGTGCCGCCGCGGACGCTGTTAGTTGAAGATGAAATGCCGCTTGCCCAACAGCGGCCGCTGTCGGTTTGGGACACTATTTGTTGTTGGGCATGTTTTCCCGTACGCATTCTGAATGTCCATATATATATATATATATATACATAGATCGGCGAATAATGCAAATGTGTAGCGCCAAATGGCGCCCAACAGCGCCCAGTAGCGACGAATAGCGTTGGAATACCAACCAACGTCGCCCACTAGCGCCATGTGAGGGAGATGTGTCGAAGCCGCTTACGGCGAATCATCGCCGCTCCCTGCCTTTTGGAATCGCCCATGTGGCCGAGCGTTGTGGCAAGAGCTATGCCAAGCTATCGGACCATGTGTTCCCCCAGCCGTTGTGGAAACCCTTCGGGGAATATTTTGGGGAGGATGATTGGGAAGATCAGGAGGAAGAGGAGGCATTTGGGGAGCCTCTGGGGGCACTATTGGGGCCTCCTGGGAGCTCCTGGGAGACTCTTGTAGGAATCTTGGGGGCCTCCTTTGAGCCTCTTTGGAGGCCTTTGGGGGCTTCTCGGAGGTCTCCTTGGCTGTCTTAGGACATCCCTGGCCCGTCTGACGCCGTCGGAAGCCGTCTTGGGGGCCTCTCTGGGCCGATTTGGAGCCCTCGTGGGGTGCTCCAGCGCCGTCTTGGAGGCCATCTTGGGCGTCTTGGAGGCCTCTTGGACCGTTTTGGAGCCTTCTTGGAGGTCCCTTGGGCGATCTTGGGGCGATCTTTAGGGCTCTTGGGCCGTCACGGGCCGTTGGCCCGTCTGACTACGTCGGAAGCCGTCTGGGGGGCCTCTTTGGGCCGACTTGGGGCCCTCTTGGAATGCTCCAGGGCCGTCTTCGAGGTTCTTGGGCGTCTCGGACGCCTCTTGGGCCGTCTCGGGGTCCTCTTGGGGCCGTCTTGGGGGCCTCTTGGGCCGTTCAGGGGCCACCTTGGATGCCTCTTGGGCGATCTTGGGATGATCTTTCAAGGCTCTTGGGCCGTTTCGGGCCGTCGGGAGGCCGGAAAGATGCAGATGCAAACGTCCTTCAAACATTTCAGACAATTACCGATTTGGGGCGTTTCGGGCTTTCCTGGAGGCCCTCTTGGGGGCCTCGTGTGCCGTCTTGGAGGCCTCTTGGGGGCGTCTCGGAGCGTCTTGAGCGAACCTGGAGCCAGCTCGGGCCGTCGTGAAGGCTCCTTGGGTTGACTTGGATGCATTTTGAGATCTCTTGGGCAATCTTGGAGGCCATGTTGGACCATCTTGGGCGAACTTGGAGGCCATCTTAGCCGTCTTGGAGGCCATTTTGGCTGTCTTGGAAGCCCCTTGGGCTCTCTTGGAGCCGTCTTCGGGGCCTCTTGGGCCGTCATGGGGCCATCTTGGAGGCCTCGTGGGCGACATTGGGAGTCTCTTGGGCCGTCTTGAGCCGTCGGAATGTTGAAAACCTTAAGAAAATCAATGATTTGGGCATCTTCGGGCCCTCCTGGAGGACCTCTTGGAGGCCTCTTCGGGCCCTCCTGGAGGACCTCTTGGAGGCCTCTTGGGCCGTCTTGGAGGCCTATTGGGGGTCTCTTGGGCCGTCTTAGGCCATCTGGAGGCCATCTCAGGCCGTCTTGGGTTAATTTTGAGCCGTGTTGGAGGCATCTTGGAGCCATCGGTGCAGTCTTGGAGGCCATCTTGGCCGTCGTGGATGCATCTTGGAGGCCATCTTGGGCCGTCTTGGAGCCGTCTGGAGAGGAAAAACCGTTGCAACTACCTCTGGGCAATCCTCCCGGGACCCAGGCGGGACGCGCCGGAACCCCAGGGAAGTTCTTTTGGAAAAGAACCCAAACCACCGAACTCGTCGTGCACGCGAGGCACCCTTGTGGCAAGCCAACAGGGGGCGGCGGATCGAAGACGCCTACGGCGAATCACCGCCGCCCCTTGCCTTTTTGGAAGCGCCTATGTGGCTGAACGTTGAGGCCAGACCTGCCAAGTTATCGGACCATGTGTTCCCCGAATCGGTTTGGAAAGCCTTCGGGGAACACGTGTGCATCTTGAAGGTCATCTTGGCCGTCTGGAGGCCATTTTGGCCCTTTCGGGCCTTCTTGGAGAACGTCTTGGAGGGATCTTGGACCGTCTTGGAGACCATCTTGAGCGTCTTGGAGACTTGTTGGGCCGTCTTGGGGGCCTCTTGGGGCCGTGTCTTGGGGGGGACTTGGGCCGTCTCGGGCCGTCGGGAGGCAGAAAAAAAGCAAAGGCCACAATCCTTCAAAATCCCATGGGAAATCAATGATTTTGGCCTTTTCGGGCCTTCCTGGAGGCCCTCTTGGAAGCCTCTTGGGCCGTCTTGGGCCATCTTAGGGCCATGTTCGGCCGTCTTGGTGGGCTCCTGGTCCGTCTGACGCCGTCGGAAGCCGTTGGGGGGGCCCCTACAGGCCGACTTGGGGCCCTCTTGGAATGCTCCAGGGCCGTCTTGGAGGCCAGCTTGGGCGTCTTGAAGGCCTCTTGGGGCCGTCTTGGGGGCCTCTTGGGGCCGTCTTGGGGCCCTCTTGGGCCGTTCTGGGGCCATCTTGGAGGCCTCTTGGGCGATCTTTCGGCGATCTTCGGGGGCTCTTGGGCCGTCTCGGGCCGTCGGAAGGCCGAAAAGAAGGAAATGTCAAAATCCGTCAAAAACCTTAGGAACATCAAGGTGGTTGGCCTCTTCTGGCCTTCCTGGAGGCCCTCTTGGGGGGCTCTTGGGCAGTCTTGGGCCAGCTTCGAGCCAACTTCGGCCATCTTGGTGGGTTCCTGGCACGTCTGACGCCGTCGGGAGCCGTCTTGGGGGCCTTTCTGGGCCGACTGGGGGCCCTCTTGGGGCGCTTCGGGGCCGTCTTGGAGGCCATCTTGGGCGTGTTGAAGGCCTCTTGGGCCGTCTTGGGGCCCTCTTGGGGCCGTCTTGGAGGCCACTTGAGCCGTCATAGGGCCCTCTTGGGGGCCTATTGGGCGATCTTGGGAGCCTCTTGCGCCGTCTTGAGCCGTCGCAATGCCGAGAAGAAGCAAATGCCAAAATCCTTCGAAAACCTAAGGAACATAAATGATTTTGGCCTCTTCGGGCCCCTCCTGGAGGACCTCTTGGAGGCCTCTTGGGCCGTCTTGGAGTCCTCTGGGGGGCCTTTTGGACTCTCTTGGGCCGTCTTGGAGGCCGTCTTGGACCATCTTGGGCGGACTTGGAGGCCATCTTGGGCCATGTTCGCGATGTTTTGAGGATGTCCCGAGCGAACTGGCCGTTTCTTGAGCCATCTTGGAGGATTTGTTGCGGTCGTTGAGCTCGTTTCCGGGCCTTCCGCGGCCCCGGCGGGACGCGCCGGAGCCCACTGGGAGAGTTCTTTTGGAAAAAGAACCCAAACCAAAACCGATAGGGTTTGGCACGCTGGGCACCCCTTTGCTGAAGCAACAGGGGGCGGCGGATCTAGTGGCCTTCGGCGCATCCCGCCACCGTGCCCGGGTTGTGGGTCAGAGTTATCAGGGATGCGTCTTCAGGCCTCTTCAGGGCGCTCTCGGGGACCTCTTGGGATCAGTTCTGGAGCCTCTTGGCAGCCTCTTGGGGCATCTTTGGAGCCTCTTGGGGCCTTTCGAGGGTCTGTTGGGGGCCTCTTGGAGCCTCCTCGGGGGCCCTCGGGACCGAGGGCTCGAAATGTCCGATCGGGTTCCCCACCTGGGACCCCTCTGTGGGCCGTCTTTGGGGCCTCTTGGGCCGTCTTGGAACCCTCTTGGGCCGTCTTGGGGCCCTCCTGGGGGCCTCCTGGGGCCGTTTTGGGGAGCGTCGGAAAGCCGAAAATGCGAGAAGGCGAGAAACGCTAAAAAACAAATGGACAGTGAATGATTTGTGCTCTTGCGACGCCTCTTGGAACACTCTTGGGGCGTCTTCGGGGCCTCTCTGGGCCGTATTGAGGCCATCTTGATCGTATCGGGGCACTCTTGGGCCTTCTCGGAAGCATCTTCGGCCCTCTTGGGCGCTTCGGGGGCCCATGTTTGGCCGGCTGTGCTACCGGAGGACACGCGCGACACACCCGGGGCATCCCTGGATTTTTTTGTGAAACTGGTGGCCCCGGCACATCACATTTTTTGTAAACTACATTTCTGAATTGTTCAGTGCTGCACGCACGGTGTCAGAGGATGTCCGTTTTGCGCGTAATTGGGAGCGCTATTTGGCGCCATGAGGAAGAGCAGAAGCTTCTGGAAGTTGCGTTTTGGGCAACTTGCGTTTCCTAAGGCAGCCGCGCGGTCTGCTCTCAGAACCAGCTGTTAGGAAGCAACTCGTGAGAGGTGAAATCATGAATCGGCTCTGGTATGTATCCCTGGTCGAACACAGGGCTAGTCTGGACAAACCCCGCTCAGTATGTCTCAGCCCCGCCAGATCTGGCTGAATCCCGATTCTATAGGCTTACGCCACATCCGCCGACCCCTCATCTTGGCGGTCTTGCCGGAACCTCGGGTTCACAGCCCGCAGTTGCCAGGCGTATCAGTGCGGCGGCGCGTGCAAGAGAAGACTACCGACGTCGGCGTTCTCCGGGAACCCTGCCAACGTCGCACGCGATGCAAAAAAGGGCACCCTGATATGCAAGACCTGCAAATGATGCCCAATCGGGGGCGCGCGTGCGGGAGAGGACAGGGGGGAGGGGGAGAGAGGGATGGGGGGTGAGGCGGAGGATGGGGGGAGAAGAATCGGGGAGGAAGAGGAGGAGGCGGGGGAGGAAGAGGAGGAGTGGGCGAGGAGGAGGTGGAGGAGGAGGAGAAGAGGGGGAGGACGGGGACACAGAGACGAAACTCTGGGATATGTGCTATTGGTTAGAAACTTGTTGTATGTGTATAGGGATCTCGCGGCACGCCTCTCGGGGACCTTTGGAAAGCAGTTTTGAACCCACCTGGCGGCCGAGGTGGAGGAGGAGGAGGAGGAGAAGGAGGAAGGGGACACAGAAACAAGGCTCTGGGTTATGGGTTTTGGGTTAGGGCCGTCTTGCACCAGCTTGGGACCAATTTGGAGACAGGTTTTGCCGTCTTGGGGTCGTCTTAGGCCGAATTGGGAGGCGTCCTGGGCCGTGTTGGGATTCTCTGGGGCCGTCTTGAGGCCCTCTTGGGGCGCCGTGGGGCGATCTTGGAGGCTCTTTGGGCTACGTGAGCCGACGGAAGCCGGGAAAGGCAACAATTGCAAACATGTTCAACAACGCAATGGAAATGTAATGAAATGCGTAATGTGCGCCTCTTTCAGATGTCCTGGGGGTCTTCTTGGAGACTTCGTGGGCGATAGTGAAAGCCTTGTCGGCCATCTTGAGGCCATTTTGGGCCGTCTTCGAACGTTCTTGGGCCGTGTTGGAGCCATCTTGGGCCGTTTTGGAGCCATCCTGGGCCGTTTTGGAGCAATCTTGGCCTCGAGAGCGCGAATCATTTTTTTGTGCGCAAACGCAACCCCGCCACCGTGCCTGGGTTGTTGATATGAGACTTGTGCGGTGATCGTTGGGATCTCTTGGGGGGCTTTTCGCGGGACTCTTGGAGGCAGTTTCGAAGCCTCTTGGGGGCCGTTTTGGAGCCTCTTGGGGGCCTCTTGGGGCCTCTTGTGGGCGTCTTGGGGGCCTCTTGGGGCCTCTTGGGGCCTTCTGGGGCCGCCTTGGGGCGGAAGGCTCGGATTGTCGGTTCGGGCTCCCCCTCTTGGGCACCTCTTGGGGCCGTCTTGGGGCCCTCTTGGGCTGTCTTGGGGGCCTCTTGGGCCGTCTTGGCGCCCTCCTGGGCCGACTTGGGCGCCTCTTGGGGGCCTCTCGGGGCGGTCTTGGGGTGCTCTGGGACCGTCTTCAACGCCGTGAAGGCCGAGAAGTAGTATGTGATCAAAATGTACGTTTTCCCATAGGAATTGACGATTTTCGGCGCTTCGGCCCTTCTGAGGACTGCTCTTGGAGGCGTCTTGGGCCGTCTTGGAGGCCTCTAGGCTCGTCTTGGGGGCATCTTGGGCGTCTGGGAGCGCTCGTTTGGCGCCTCGGAGCTCTCGTGAGCCGTCTTGGAGGAGTCTTGGGGCCTTCTTGGCCCGTCTTGATCCCCTTTTGGGCCCAAAAGAGCCCCGTGGTGCGCTCGTCTGCGGCCCGGGGGGGGGGGGTCAAATCTCCGGTTTGGGGTCCCAGGGGGGGGGTTAGGGGGGGGGAACTATCTCACACGCCTAGAGACCCACAAGGGGTCGGCGGATTCGTCTGGCTCAATCCCGGGCTTTTCGTCCAGCCAGGTCCGGCCCCATGGCACCTCCAGATTGGGCCCGATCGCCCTGGAACCGTTTCTGCGAGGACCTCCCCGGAGTTGCCCCCCTCGAGGTCGTCGCGGGGATACAGCGGCCGGGCCGTGGGCGAGCGGAGGCGGGCCGCGGCCGTGGACAGCGGCCGCAGCTCGCGGCGCCGCTCTCCGAGCGCCGCAGCCCGCGGCGGCGGAGCGGCGCCGCGCGAGCTGCCTCCGCGGGCGCGGCGGGCCCTGGCGGCCGGCGGGCCGCCGCGCGCGGGGCCGCCGCCGCGGGAGCCTGGGCGCCGAGCCGTGCTGCGAGACCGGGGGGGGGGCCCACAGGAGGGGGGTTGGGGCGGCCAGCAAAAGCTCGGATGCAACTCCTGGGAGGTCGAATGCTGACTCCGCCCGGGTCCGCAATCCAGTTCTATCCGGCTCCATCCCGCCGAATCCGCCTCACGTAGTCCCGCTTACTCCCGCTTCGTCCCCCTCAATCCGAGGCCCAATCTGGCACACGAGGCTGACGTGCTCGTGCTGGCCAGGGGCAGCGTTAGGGGGGGGGGGGACAGGCCCAGGGGGGCCGCGTCGACCCCCCGTCGCCCGTGGACCGCCGATAGGGGTCCGATAGCCCAACGCCGCCCAGGATCGTGCAGATTCGCTATCGAGGGCTTATCGGTTATCGGGGATGTATCGCCGATTCCAAGGCGACGCGTGGACCGCCGATAGGGGTCTGATAGCCCAACGCCGCACAGGATCGTGCAGATTCGCTATCGAGGGCTTATCGGTTATCGGGGATGTATCGCCGATTCCAAGGCGACGCTTCCCCCCAAGGCCAGTCCCCCCCTTATCGTGGCCCTCCCTTCCCCGGCCCTCAACTCCGCCGATCCCGCTGGAGCTTGTGGCGGCCTTCACTCCCCCTCCCTTTGCAAGGGCCCCGCCCGAACCACTGCCAATACGATTGCGAGTCTCTCTTTCTCACCCGATAATCCACGTCGTCCAGCTCGGCGTCGATGTTGATGCAGCAGGGGCAGTGGAGATGTCCTGCGATGCTGATCGCCACTGCGGTGATGGAACGGAGCTGGCCAGGATCGCGGGCCAGCTCGCGATCCTGCGTCTGCACAGGACGGCTCCTGGGCTGTGAGTGGCACCCTGCGGCCTGGGCCGCCCTCGAAGCGGCGTGGAGGTCCGACCCCGGCGCGCGCGGCTCCTCGCGCCGCCCAGCGGCACCGAACCGCCTTTTGCGGGGTGGCGGGGGGAGCGCGCGCGGGGCCGGGCCCCCCCCCCGCCGCGCCCGCGGCGCCCCAGCGCGCCGCCCGGCTCTTGTTCCTTGGGAGCCTGGCACGTCGACGGTGCAAGATTCCGGGCCTCCCTGATGGTCCTCCCGGATGGTGATCGTTTTTCTCATTCATTGTTTTGCCGTTCGGCGCGGGCCCTCGCCCCCCCCCTCCTCCCCCATAGAGAACAGATCTTGGCTGTTTGGGGCGCCTGTTTCGAGCAGGCGGAGTCTCCCCCATAGGACGCACTGTTGCAAACAGTCGCATTAAGCAGAGGTCCGGAGACAGACCCCCCCCTCCCCCCCTCCCTCTCCTTCTGCCCAATACCGAAACGCCGAATAAGAAAACGCTCACATGGGGTCCGAGTCGATAGGGTCGGGGATTGCTCCGCATCGCCGATGCATCGACGATGCAGCTCGATGTGGAGTCAGAGTATCTACACGCCGATAGCGCCGATACATCGGCGATGCATTGCCGATGCATCGGCGATGCGGCGTGAGATTTAGACCCGAATCTACTCGGACCCCATCTAGGAGGCCCCTAGAGAGGAGGGGCGCGATGGGGGCGATCTTTCTCGGGGGCGGCCAAGAGAGGGGGGGAGGAAGTTGTCGCTGTTTTTCTCGCATCAGGATGCCTTCCAGCAGCTGCGCCTCGTCGAGAGCTTTCCAGCGACGCCCAGATCGTCCCGAACGACCGCTGGAGGCCCGAGATACGACCCAAAGTCCACCATGCGGCGAGCAGGGGGTTTGTAGGGAGGGTGGATAGCATGGCCAGGGCCATGACATCTCCCTGGATTTCATGATCCCCCTCTTCTCATTCAATACGTCCTTTGCCCCCCCCCTTTCGGCCGCGCGCATGCATCGGGCAACGATTTGCGAACCCCCTCTTGGACGATTCCCTCTTAGGTGCCCTCGAGTCTTCGGCGTCGTCGTTTGGGGAGATCCCCAAGCAGCACCTGCATGAGGCAATCCTGCTTGTTTCCGAGGGGTTCGAAGTCTGGTTGCCGCCCTGGTGCCCTTTGGCTGGGGTCCCACGATGCTCCAGTCGTCGGCGCCCTGTGGTTGTCGCGATTTTCGGTTGCCGCCCTGGTGCCCTATTGCTAGTGCCCTACGACGGTGCCCTGATAGACTGCGATCTCTGGCTGCCGCCGCACCAGAAGGCCTGCAAACCTCGGGTGCGAGAAGCTATTGCGCGGGATTCGCGCGGGACGCTCTCGTCGCCACGGATGGACGCGGCTCAAATGGCTGTCCAGGATGGATGCCAGGAGGGGTCCAGGGATTGGTTCTGAGAAATTTCTGGTCGGGTTGGGGTGAAGGGGGGGGGGCGGGGCAAGCTACTCTAGGCCTCCCAAATGAGGCACGAGTAGATGGGGTCTAGGATCGCTCCGAGACGCCTATGCACCGGCTATGTGACACGTGGAGCCGGATTGTCTCAGAGCCGACGTCGCCGATGCATCGGCGATGTGGCGCGATCCTCCAATCCAAGGTGCTCCGATGCCAATCGGGAGGCTTATATCTACGGATGCACGGTGCTCCTTCTGAGCCTCGCTGCCCTCAGAAGCCCTCCGAGAAGTGTATCCGATCTCTTCTCGAAGGGCCCCATCCGCCCCCCTCGCGCCACGCCACAGCGAGCGCCGCGGAGCGGCGGTGCCGCTGCGGGCCTTGCTGGACGGACCATCGTCCCTGAAGGGGTGCGTGGTAGCCGTCGGCAGGCGCGCGAGCGTGCGGGCCGCAGGACAAGTGTGCCCGCGGCCCTTCAGGCGACACGGGAGCCCCGCCTTCTTCGCCCTCCTCCATCCATAGCGTTCTCGTCCGCCTTCTCCTCAAGTCCGATCTCCTCGTCCTCGTTTTCCTCGTCCTCCTCCCCACCTCTCGGTTCCCGTGTCCTACCATTTCTCGTTATATTCCTCTCTTCCTTGTTCCTCCCTGTTCCTCCTCGTACCCGTGCTCGCCCGTCTCGAGCGGAGAGCATACGTCCCCAGTTGCCGACCACGCCCGCGCCGACACTGACACGGGGCAGCAGTCAATGCCGCCGCCGCTGGTAGGGGAGGGAGCGGGGTATGGTAGGTGATGACACAGAAGGGGGAGGACGACGAGAAGGAGAAGGAGGAGGGGGAGGAGAAGGAGGAGGAGGAGGAGGTGCAGGAAAGGGAGGAGGAGGAGGAGGAGGTGGAGGAGCAGGAGGAGAAAGAGTAAGAGGATCAGGAACAGAAAGATGAAGAGAAGGGACAAGGAGGAGGAGGAGGAGGAGGGGGAGGAAGAGGAGCAGGAAGGAGGAAGGAGGAAGGAGGAGGAGGAAGGAGGAAGATGTGGAAAAGGAGAAAGGAGAGGGGAGGAGGAGGAGGAAGGAGGAGGAGGAAGGAGGGAGGGATCTGTGTATATAGCACCTCTATACATTCATGCACACGCCTTCCTGGTCAAGTCAGGGCGAATACGCACACGGATCCTAGGCCCAGGCCCAGCCTGCCCACGAATAGAGTAGGTGTACAGCCGGCGCCCGCCTGAGCGGGTGGGAAGGGGGCGGCGTGAAAGCGCCAGGGAGGGGAGGGGCCGGGGCTGGCGTCAGGGCCGGGGATAGGGCAAGGTCCGGGCTTGGGCGCAGAACGGGGGCCAAGGCCCGAGTCGGAGGCGAAGCTCCACGGCCGAGGCCGCAGCTAGGAGAGGCAGGTACGAGTCAGACATCGGGCGATTCGATCCTTTCGATGCTTGAGCTCCCCGTGATTTCTCGGCCCCCTCTCCCCCAGGGCGGGCTTCTCATCGCCAGCCCTGGGGCCCGAAGCCGACCTCAGGAGGCCAGCACTAGGCAGTAGATTGGCCGCTTCGGTCTTCTTCGGGGCGACGGATGCATGGGGAGGATCCTGGATCTTCGTCGTCTTCGTCGGCATCCTCACCCTGGTCCTCCTCGCCGCCACCATCCTCCTCGAGGGATCAGAGGCAACGATGTTGCGAGCGACTTGTTCGTAGGAGGCTTGGAAAAGCTTCTCAGAAGGCCAGAGGCCCTCTGACCCTTCTGAGCGGGCCCGCCCACTCTGCCGTCCGCCGTCTGCGCGCCGCCGAGACCTCGCAGCCGCTCAGCTTCAGGCTTCTCCTGCTCCTCCTCGGCCTCCTCCTCCTTCTCCTCCTCCTCCTCCTCCTCCTCCTCCTCCTCCTCCTCATCATCATCATCGTCATCATCATCCCCCTCCTCCCCCCTCCCCCTTTCCTACTCCTCCTCCTTCTCATCCTCCTCCTCCTCCCTTTCCTCCTCCTAATCCTCCTCCTCCTCCTCCTCCTGCTCCTCATCATCATCATCATCATCATCATCATCATCATCATCATCATCAGCATCATCATCAGCATCAGCATCAGCATCAGCATCAGCATCAGCATCATCATCATCATCATCCCCCTCCTCCCCCCTCCCCCTACTCCTCCTCCTCTCCTCCTCCTCCTCCTCCTCCTCCTCCTCCTCCTCCCTTTCCTCCTCCTCCTCCTCCTCCTCCTCCTCCTCCTCCTCCTCCTCCTCCTCCTCCTCCTCCTCCTCCTCCTCCTCCTCCTCCTCCTCCTCCTCCCCCCCCCCTCCTCCCCCCCCCCCTTTCCTCCTCCTCCTCCTATTCCCCCTCCTCCTCCTCCTCCTCCTCCTCCTCCTCCTCCTCCTCCTCCTCCTCGTGCGCAGGGGCCCAAGAAGGCCCGAGGGGTCGATGGCCTCGGGTCGAACGACCTGGCGCGGCTGCCCCCTGAGGGACGCGAGGAGCTGCGTCAGCTGCTGGTGGAGTGCGAGCGGCGCGGCTGCTGGCCCAGGCAGCTCCTGGGCGTCATCGGCGCTACGCTGCCTAAGAGTGCGGGCGGGGAGCGCATCATCGGCATGCTGCCGCTGCCGCCGAAAGTGTGGTCGCGGGCGAGGTCGTCCGTCACGTCATCCTGGACGGAAGACTTGGGCGCCTTCTGGGACTCGGCCATCCGGGGCTCCAGCGCCTTGCGCGCGGCGCTGCTGCGTGCGGTCATGGACGAGACGGGCATGGAGCTGGGGGTGGCGGCCTCCACCCTGTACATGGACGTGGAGACGTTCTACGACCTGGTGTCGCTGGTCAAGCTGATGGCCATCGCGGAGAGGTTCGAGTACCCTGCGGTGGTGGTCGGCCTGGACGTGCAGCTGTTCCTTGCGCCTCGCTTCTTGCGGGACCGTCATCATGGGGTCTCCATGGCGGTCGAGGCGACTCGTTCGGTGGTAGCGGGTTCCAGTCACGGCGTGTCGCTGGGGAAGCTGTATCTCCACCCGCTCCTGCTGAGGGCGCACGTGCAGTGCCCGCGAGCGGGGCTGTGGAGCTTCATCGATGACACCGTGGCTCGCGTGGAGGGCTCCCGTGCAGCAGTGCGGGACGAGCTGCCGCGGATCGCGGGGGTCCTGAAGCAGGGCCTGGATGAGCAGGAGCTGATCTGTTCGGGCAAGACGAAGCTGGTGGCGACGGACGCGGAGCTGGCCGGCGAGGTGTCGAAGACCTTGGAGCAGCTGGGCGTGCCGTTCCAGGTGGTGCAATCGGCGGTCGACCTCGGCATCGACGCGGCGGCGGGCAGGCAGCGAGTGTGCCGGAAGGCGTCGACGAGGCTGCGAGGCGGAGCGCGGCGCTTCCAGCGTATCATGCGCCTGCGCCGGGCGACGGCGCTGACCAAGGAGTGCCGCGGCCTCTGGTCGACAGGAGCCCTCCCTCAGGCCGCCTATGGGCACCAGGTTTTCGGGCTGGCCCCGAGCCGCGTCCTGGCGTTGCGGCGGCAGGCCGCCCAGGCGGTGGGCGGTTCCGCCAAAGGGAGATGTTTGACCTCGGTCCTGGCGGCGACGATGGGGCTCATGGACCCGCACGTGGTGCTGCGCAAGCAGGTCGTGGAGTCGT